AAGGGAGGGGCAGAGACAAGATATAGAAAACTCTTAAAGGCTGTGTCTCTAGGAGACACAGCCAATGAGGACACAGCCAATGCCAGATCACTACACCGGCCATTGCCAGTGTCATGTGACCACTGTGACCAATCACAGCAGGTCACATGACAATTGTATACAATGGGTGACTTCCTTTGATGCCATCCATTGTATAAAATTGTTAGCTGTGATTGGTCAAAGCAGTCACATGGTACAGACAGAGCCAATCGTAACCCATCTGTTTCATGTGATGAGCTTTGCCCAATCACAGATAATCACAACAAAAGACTGAATTAATCGGTTTCATTCAGTAACAATGGTTGCAAATATCAATGAAATACATTGGTATTAGCAATCATAATGTGTGAAAAGAAAAAAAAAAGAAAATCCTGATCACTTGCCCAGAATAGTTCAATGTTACTATGGTAACATTGTATTGCTCTGGTCACTGTGTGTTAAAAAAAGGAAAATAAATGTAATAAAAAAGAAAAAAATAATATACATCAACAAACGAAAAAATGGACTGCTGTGCCTCCCAATCAAATCGATCAATCCAATATATGACTCTATAGAAATAAAATATATATTGCACAAAGAAATTTTTTTTTGCACAAAATAATTAACTGATGATAGTATTTATGTATATATTCACCGGTAGCAATAAATGTCCATGCAAAAGCCGTGAGTATCTTCTCTCATTTCCATATAGTATATCACTGTATTCCACCTTTTGTGATACTCCACAACAGCATATGTGGTGATACCTGCCACCAGCTCACCTCCAAGATTGGACCCGTGTAGTTACAGGTCTCAAACGCTTTTCTCCTTGTTTGGGACTTCCAATAACTCTTCTGTTAATGCAGACTCAGATGTTTACTCATAATATGTTCAAAAGCACGATTCATATGTATCCATACGTGGTGGTCTGGCCCTTTAAATCACGACCCCTTCTTCTTCTGTATTATACTCGCATAAAGCAAATAAGGTGTTCCTAGTGTAGTATGTACACATAAAGATATACATTTATTGTTATAATGCACTTACAAGTGAAGTAAAAACACAGGCTCTCATAAAGACAGCGGGGCCGCGGCTCCCATGTCACTTCCGGTTTCAATTCCACTGACTCCTGGCAGCTCCTAGATGCGTATCATCACGTGACTTCTTCAGTATGATGCGGAACTGAACTTTTTCAGTGTGTGTGAGGATACAGAGCCTCCTGATCACCAGCCAGCATCTGTGAAATTCAATAACAGCAGAAACCTGATTAAAATCCACTCCTCTTACAGTATACAGTTAGGTCCATAAATATTGGGACATGGACACAATTCTAACATTTTTGGCTCTATACACCACCACAATGGATTTGAAATGAAGTGAACAAGATGTGCTTTAACTGCAGACTGTCAGCTTTAATATGAGGGTATTTACATCCAAATCAGGTGAACGGTGTAGAAATTACAACAGTTTACATATGTGCCTCCCACTTGTTAAGGGACCAAACGTAATGGGACAGAATAATAATCATAAATCAAACTTTCACTTTTTTTTTATTCCATAAAAGTTTATTTAGAAGTGACAACATGTTACAGGAAAATATAAAGAAATGCACATACAGCATCAATCAGGTCATAGATACAGCTTAAACCAAAATACAGGAAGAAACAACATGGTAGAGTGCGACACGACACTGTGGATAACAGAAGCATGGCAAATTACGGCAGAGATAGGCCTGTAGTACTCAAGGTTCAAAAATGTACAATAGAGAAGGTAATAACCGCTTACTTCCACCAAGTGAATATTGGCGTACTGGCCTATGCATGGAGGAAATGAACCGTCAGAGCCTAAACCAAAAGCAGTGCGCTATCATGAGGCCAAATGAGCATCGCAGTCTAAGAGAAGATGTCATGAGTACCATTGACTATCCTAGAAGATATAAGCTAACCATACACCAAGTAATCCTGGAACTTTCACTTTTTAATACTTGGTTGCAAATCCTTTGCAGTCAATTACAGCCTGAAGTCTGGAACGCATAGACATCACCAGACGCTGGATTTCATCCCTGGTGATACTCTGCCAGGCCTCTACTGCAACTGTCTTCAGTTCCTGCTTGTTCTTGGGGCATTTTCCCTTCAGTTTTGTCTTCAGCAAGTGAAATGCATGCTCAATCGGATTCAGGTCAGGTGATTGACTTGGCCATTGCATAACATTCCACTTCTTTCCCTTAAAAAACTCTTTGGTTCCTTTTGCAGTATGCTTTTGGTCATTGCCCATCTGCACTGTGAAGCGGCGTCCAATGAGTTCTGAAGCATTTGGCTGAATATGAGCAGATAATATTCCCGAAACACTTCAGAATTCATCCTGCTGCTTTTGTCAGCAGTCACATCATGAATAAATACAAGAGAACCAGTTCCATTGGCAGCCATACATGCCCATGCCATGACACTACCACCACCATGCTTCACTGATGAGGTGGTATGCTTAGGATCATGAGCAGTTCCTTTTCTTCTCCATACTCTTCTCTTCCCATCACTCTGGTACAAGTTGATCTTGGTCTCATCTGTCCATAGGATGTTGTTCCAGAACTGTGAAGGCTTTTTTAGATGTCGTTTGGCAAACTCTAATCTGGCCTTCCGGTTTTGAGGCTCGCCAATGGTTTACATCTTGTGGTGAACACTCTGTATTCAGACTGGTGAAGTCTTCTCTTGATTGTTGACTTTGACACACATACACCTACCTCCTGGAGAGTGTTCTTGATCTGGCCAACTGTTGTTATGAAGGGTGTTTTCTTCACCAGGGAAAGAATTCTTCGGTCATCCACCACAGTTGTTTTCCGTGGTCTTCCAGGTCTTTTGGTGTTGCTGCGCTCACCTGTGCGTTCCTTCTTTTTAAGAATGTTCCAAACAGTTGTTTTGGCCACGCCTAATGTTTTTGCTATCTCTCTGATGGGTTTGTTTTGTTTTTTCAGCCTAATGATGGCTTGCTTCACTGATAGTGACAGCTCTTTGGATCTCATCTTGAGAGTTGACAGCAACAGATTCCAAATGCAAATAGCACACTTGAAATGAACTCTGGACCTTTTATCTGCTCATTGTAATTGGGATAATGAGGGAATAACACACACCTGGCCATGGAACAGCTGAGAAGCCAATTGTCCCATTACTTTTGGTCCCTTAACAAGTGGGAGGCACATATGTAAACTGTTGTAATTCCTACACCGTTCACCTGATTTGGATGTAAATACCCTCAAATTAAAGTTGACAGTCTGCAGTTAAAGCACATCTTGTTCGTTTCATTTCAAATACATTGTGGTGGTGTATAGAGCCAAAAATGTTAGAATTGTGTCCATGTCCCAATATTTATGGACCTGACTGTATGTCTCCTAGATTGTAAGCTCCAAGGAGCAGGGCCCTCTAATCCCTCTTGTATTGAACTGTATTGTTACTGTATTGTCTCCCTCCATAATGTAAAGCGCTGAGCAAACTGTTGGCGCTATAGAAGTCCTGTATAATAATAATAATATGTCAGCACCCTCCTGTCTCTGAATCTGACCTGTATAATAAGGCGGTATTAAACCCAAAACCAAAAATTTAATATATTGCAACTTGGCATTTATTGGATGTGGTGGTTGCATTTGTTTTCTTTTTTAGGCTTTCTTCCCTCTGTTTTCACTTGGTGATTGGGCCAGTAACACACCCCCTGTATTAGAGTGCCCCCACTCTGACTGAATGAGCACAAGGGAAACCTTAGGACAGCAGCATTCTCAGTCCCTGGGGGTGGAGAGTGTTAGATGGACTAGCAGATTTAGATACACTAACAAATTCATGCTAAAATGCAGCTCACGCTGCAGTTACAGCAACATTGTTTTAAAGGTTTTACATAAAAGCTGATTATTGTAAGCGCCCCTGTCGGTGTTAAATGGCTCGTCTAAACACTCTAAATAATACATCTGCAGGACAGCTTGTTCTGTTGATATAACATATTTACTGGCAGGATCACCAGGTAAAGAAAATAAAAGAAAGCCTTAAAAAAAACCAAGTAATGCAACCATTACATCTAAGAATTGGTACGCTGCGATATGTTTGCTTTTTGGTTTAAAACTGCTTAATGTCCTATATCACAGTCTTTCTTAACCAGGGTACCCTGAGGTTTCTTCAGGGTTGCCTTTGTAAAATGTATACAAATTGCCCAAAACTTGTATATAAGCCAGCGGGTGGAAGAAGCCTTCCTTTTAGTTACACAAAGCCACAGGTCTTCATTGTGCACCATTACGACCTTCTAGGCGCTGGCATCCTGACAATCAATGAATCATTTAATAAGGAGGATGTCCGCTGCCTGCACAGCATCCTAGTTTGACCCTCCCCTGCCCCTCTCCATCAGTGCTGGGGTCACATTAGCTCAGTGATGGTGCAAAACTGAGAGAGAAGAGAAACGTTGGGATACTAGTCAGTACCAGTGTGCAAAAGTGTATTTGCTTTGAGAGAAAAAACATCTCTTATGTTGGGTGTCCTGCATGTGTGGATGTAGCTGCATTATATTAAACTATTAGAATAGTTTTTCACATTTTCACATAATTTTAAAGGGTGCCTTGGGACTGTCCATAATTTTAAAGGGTGCCTTGGGACTGTCCATAATTTTAAAGGGTGCCTTAACTGAAAAAAGGTTGAGAAACATTGCTATAGCATACCATTACCTAGCTCCATGTTTTAACCCTCTCAATACCAGCAAGTATCTTTATTCCCAAAAATGCGTGGCAACAAATCAGATCACATTCAGTTGTCTGCTTTCCAAAAAGGTGTAGTTTGGGGAGTATAGGAAATTTCCAGGAAATTTGATATGTGTATAACATACAGTATTGTTTTTTTTAAATGTATTTGGGTACAGTGTTGCACGAGGGAGTAATGGTCAGTCAAAATATCAGTGTATTCCAAACGAGCAGATAAATTCTTTAAATTCGTCCAACATATCCTCCAGGGTATTATATGTGGCATTCGTTCAGACACAATAACAGTGCTTTCCCTTTTTTTAGATTCACAAAGAACCTTTCCCCCGACAAGATCAATCTTAGCACCCTTAAAGGAGAAGGTCAGCTGACCAACCTGGAGCTGGATGAAGATGTGCTGCAGAACATGCTGGACCTCCCCACCTGGCTCTCCATCAACAAAGTGTTCTGCAACAAAGCTGCTATTCGGGTTGGTTCAGCTTAACATTTCTTTCTCCTGTCTGGTCTTAAAACCTTTCTTTTAATGTGTCAAACTGATGATGCCATCAGGACATTGGACAACGCCACTGGAAATTGTGCAGCTCCCTAATGCATCTACACTGCATTATGCAGATAATCAGATGAGACTTTCTGCTATGTAAACCAGCAAATAAGATTTACATCACAGATTTATTGTCGAATTCAATTATGTTGAAGTTCCGTTATACAGAATGTAGCTATAAATTAAGTTTAAACTGTAAATCCTAGTATTTCCTTTTTTCACTTCCCTGTAAAGAGCAACAAAACTACCCATTTCATCATTCCTGTAATTCCCCTTTCACATTTTGATAATGATTGTCTGCATTTGAAGTATATCTAAAGCCAAAAATTTTATATATATATATATATATATATATATATATATATATATATATATATATGCTAAAAGTATATCTCTAAAGCCAACTTTTTTTTATTTTTTTGGACTGATTTTTGGTAGAATACCTGTTGGTTTTTTTATTTTGCTTACACCCTGGCTTTCCTGAAGAGGGACCCCATCCCGGTTGGAAAGAGGAAAAAGACCCGGCGGACACAGAACAAGTAACAAAAACACAGCACTCCAAATCGCATGATGGTACTGCAGTACTGTCTTTATGATCTGTTTTGGGGAGTCACACACCCAGTGCTCTTAGAATGTGGTGCAAGAAACACGCACAGAATGCGGGTTTCTTAAACAGCCTTCTGGTGTGAATAAGCCCTAAAGCCTATCTAAAACTATAAGAGTTTTCTTTTTTAATATAACAGAAAATGGTTTATTCTCCTTTTTTTTTTTTTTTTTTTTTTTTTTTCCTCCAATTTTTGTTTCCAAGTTAGGGGAAACTCTCCCTATAGACAGTTATGACCTGAAGAAATACCCCATTTTGACTTCCTGTTTTGGTGTTACCAGGACGAATAGAGAGAGTGAGTCCTCCCATTGCGGACACACTGCAAAATTAAAAAGAAAAAAAAACCTGACAGGTGTCGTTAAACTTCCATACTCTATCCAAAGCTACTACAAAAAAACTTTTTGCCATTACATATACATTAATAGGTCTATTTATAAATCGTTAAATGGACGAATGTCACAAGCATTTGTTCGTGCTACACAAATTTTCCCTGTATTATTTCTATTACTTTGAATTCCTATAATCATCAACTACATATAGTGGCCAAAATATGGCATATCTTTCTGAACCTCCTCATAAATATATGAATGTATAATGTATACTGTCTCTCTTTCAATATATTTTCAATGTTTTTTCCTTTTATACAGCCAGACCTACTAATGCTCATTAATGCTTTGCAGATACCATGGACTAAGCTGAAGACTCACCCAATAAGTCTGGTTAGTTTTGCTCTTCAATATGATGTTACTTTTACTTATGGTGCTTCACATTTCAATCTACTTTTTATTTTTTAATCTATGCAAAAAAAAAAAAATAAGACTTGAGTTATATTGACAGTTTTCCATCACTTTCGGATTTTATTGAAGTTTGAACTGGAAAAAGTCACTGAACATGCTTGAAATTATGAGGGGTTGTAGTGAAAATTGAACAATTAAAATGTGCAGATTTGAAGTGATCTGGAAAAGGAGTTAATCAAAACCTAGGTGCAATAAAGAGGAAAAAAAAAAAGCTGTAAATGCCACATCAACAGGAAATCCCATAATCTGAAAAAATCTAAAAACACAATAAAGCAGATCTTTATTTAAATCTTAAAATGCAGAATTGCTGTGTGTTTGGTCAGCATTCGTTCAGCATTTGCACTGTGATAGTTTTGTCTTTATACAACCATATTTAGGTGGTTTTATTTATGAATCGGCAGTGCCATAATAGATTCTATGGAGGCAACTAGGTATACAGAACCTCGGGGCCCCCTTTTACAGGTCTGGAGGTTTCTTGTGTACACGCTCTAGTGGGATAACATTGAACTAAGTAGTGTGCTTGTCAGCCTCTAGATGGAGATGACCATCATTACTGTACAGTACACGTACGTAGGTACATAGGTGCACCAAAGGAACTTTTACGAGACAAACTGTAATGTGAACCTGATGTCTAGGGTGTATGTACCTTAAGTTGTTGGTGAGTACATTACAGTACCCAATAACATACCAAACATACAGTACTTTCTCTGTAAAGTTTTAATTTTGATTTGATTCATTTTTTTCTGTCTCTTGTAAACAATTTTGCTGATATTTCTGATTGAAGGAACCAATAAAAATGTTGCTTTCAATAACCAGGTACCCACAACAGCAAAATAAGTCTGTATATGCAGTAAAGCATGCTTGTTATACTCACTGTGGAACCTAAGGGGGTTAAACGTATGTATAAAGGATGTTTGATCCTGTCTTCTCTGATCCTCCCCTTCTACTTTCCGCAAATCATCTCATGATAGAACAGAGCCTTGGGGGCAAGCTGCCCATGCTCAGTTTGGTGTGTATTGCTAGAGAGTTTTTTTTTTTCTTGGGAGGGTGCATGTGATCAGCACAGGGTCAATCAGCACTGTCTAGACAGAGAGTCAGGGGTCCTGCAAAGTCATTGGACAATCAGGAGTGAAATGAAAACTCCTCCCACAAGATTTACCAGTGCTCTGCTGGACACTGATAGAAGTCACAAGACTTATCTAACTGCTGATGGAAAAAGGTATTTAGCAGTTTTATATTTACTAAAATAATTGCATTTCCATGTTGTGTGTACTGTGGAAGACCAGATATAGTGAATGCAGGGTCCTGGGTTTAGTAACAATTTAATGCTTTTTCTGTTCAGTGTGCTGTTAAAATAGAATAACCCTGAATCATCTAAGGGGTTGAATTCAGGGAATCCTGTTCTCCAGGTGACATCTCATATGTGTAGGTATGATAAGGTATCTGCAGAGCAGGAAGTGAGGAAATCAATCCATGTGGTATGGATGATAATTTAAACTTGCCAGAGGTTCTAACCGTTCCCCAGTCTTTCAAAAAGCTATAACAAATAAGGCCCCATTCACACAAGCATACTTGAATGTACAATCGTGCGAACTACCGTGTTAACCCGCAGGGGTGATACATAGATGTTCAGTGCATCCACATACAGACAGTCCCATTCTTGTCTATTGGGACACAGCTGCTGCATGGGCACAGCCACTGCTCCCAATTTGACACCTGTGGACACGAACCCACACACATACAGTATGTCAGATTGGGAGCAGTGGCTGTGTCTGTGCAGCAGCTGTGACCCTATAGACATGAATAGCATTGCCTGCACACAGATGCACAGAACACATGTGCAAATATGTCCCTTTGCACACATGTACTCTTAAAGTGGCTGTAAACCCTTACATATACCCAGTGAGGTGACCGGCATACAGTTATACACAGAGATGAAACAAATCCTCCTACATAGGTTGTACCTGCTTATCTGCAGTAATCTCTTCTCTACATCGGACAAAGTCCAGAATGTATAAAGCTTGTCTGAGGTGTCAGAAAAAAGGGGATAGTGAGCTGAAATTACACACTGCAGAGCTCCGTGAAGAGAGCTCTGAGAGTTGATTGGAGGGAAGGGACACACTCCCTTCACACAGCTCACAGGAACAGAGCAGAGGCTGTAAATCTGCTGGAGGTCCCTCCCCTGCCACTTTTTTTTTTTTTTTTTTTTTCTCTTGGTGTCAGGAAATCTTGTCAGAAGAGCCTCATACAGATAGCAGAGGAACAAAGCAGCAGACAGAAATGACACTTAGTGCTCTAGATAGACAATATAAATAGAGACAAATACAAACTATAGAGGGATATGCTTTGTTCATATTTCATGTCTAAGGTTTACAACCATGTATGCATGTGTGAACAAGGCCTAAGCTGTATCTGTATCAAGTTTCAGAATGTTTTGTTGATGTGTTAGGATGCATACGTTGTAATATTTTATGTTTGTTGATATTTAATTATATGTATTTTAGTCTTTGGACAAAGTCATCATGGAAATGAGCACATGTGAGGAGCCACGTGCGTGTAATGGACCCTCGCCATTGGTCACTGCTTCAGGGCAAAGGTAAGAGGCACTTGAAGTAGACAAGGCATAGGATTATATGGCCAGCACTCTCAATGTTGGAGTTCACCTCCCATCAGACAGATATATTTGTTGTCGGTATGTTCTCTCCCCACCCCCCTATTGATATGGGCTTCTTCCCACAGTTGGAACACATAATGGTGAAATGTGTCTTTAGCCAAATCAACATTGGGTTTGCTGCTTTTAGGTGTGTCTTAAAGTAGAACTCCAGGCAAACAGTGAACTACATACTGTGTATGGGAGCTGTCTTACCTGCCATAGGATTTGTATCCCTTGAGATTTACACAGCCATGGTACCAAGCACCTCCCTGTCTGGCAGGACAGGATACTTGATTTTCCTGCTACAGTTCATGAACACAAGTCTTCTCCCCACCCCATAGCCTGTGACTGGACAGTGAAAGGAGAATCGGCACACTGATGAGATCTACAGTATGTGTCAGCTTGCTCTCTCCTATCAGCATGCTCTTTGCACTGCAACTGTAACTGATTCACTCCTGCTGCTGCTTTTCACTCCCTGCTTGCATTTAAAAAATGTCTTTAAAAAGCGCCGATCTGCATTAACTTTCTTTTATATTAAATCTTCCTGGAGTACGTTTTATGACTTTGCTATGGATCTTTGATTGTAAGCTTCTTCACTGGCAAGAACATTGTGAATAATCTGTGCACTCTGAAACTCTGTGAAAAGCTTGAATCTATATACAGTATGTTTACAAAGAACACATTGAATATTTCAAGAGGATGTGGTAGAGAACACGATGGATGCATTTTATAAATATTTTCCTGCTTTTTAGGTATATGATATATTGCATATAAATATTTGATACTAACCATTTGCCTCTAGCAAATGTTGCACTGGAGGCAGAGTTTATTTTTTATTTTTTTGCAGTGATTTACTAAGCTGTAAATAGCCTGTTGAAATTTGAACTTCTGTTACACAAGTTTATTTACAACACCTAAACCATTTGAGCTAGGAGGAAGGCAGCCCTCCCTATAATAATTCATAATGACCCATGTAGATTTTTTATTTGGATAGACCGTCTACAAATGACGAGACAGTGCTAGGATTTCAAATTGAAAATCCCTGCATGTTTAACTGTTAAAGCGGAACTATACTCTCCTCCAATCCAGTGAAGCAATATCCACAAGCTTCCTTGATGGCCATCTTTTGCCTGTCTTCCTACCCGGTTCTGTTTTCTGGCCTTTATTAATGTTTGGGCCAAGGCAATGTCACTGCTGCACATTCGTGGGAGTTCATTAATCTCAGCAGATGTCGAAATTGTACATTGAGGTGCGTGTGCATACAGGCAGGTAAGAATAACTTAATGCAGAAGAGACCTAATGTGTCTTCTGTATTGAAAAGCCTGCTGTTCACAAATTTTTGTTTCACGTACAGTAAAGTTTCACTTTAAAGTGTGTTTCCCCAAAAATTAAGATTCAAGATATGTGTTCTCTTTAAATCTAGGCTTTTATGCGCTAGATGCAGGAAATAAAAGGACACTGTGGGAAATGCACAGGGTACCAATATATACTGTGGTCAGTTTTGGGGTCACGCCCTCCATCCAGCCCTGCTGCTGTTGATTGACAGTGGCTCCCAGCTGGAACCTTGCTGTCAAAACCTCAGCCACTTTATGAACACAGTGCAGATGTTGTCATACTTCTCTACTGTGTGATGTAACCTGGCCACCCACTGTGACTGACATAAGCTGCAGTCCCTTGCCAGCACTGTCTGCTTCTTCCTCCTCTAGATGCTTCCTTAACAAGCTGGGTGCTAAGGAGGCGCCAGTGTATGTGTGCTCCTGAGCTGGGCTGTGTGCGTCCATAGATGGTGCTGGAGCAAGACTGTGTTGGAGCGGTGATAGGAGCCAGACGAATGTTTAGGGATGGGGGCGAGTAGGACAGATAGTGGGGTGCTTTTACCTTAAAGTGATTCTAAGGGTTCATTTTTTTTTGGGGGGGGGGGTGGGATAACAAACATGCTACATGTACCTACTGTGTACAGTGGTTTTGCACAGAGCAGCCTGGATCCTCCTCTGCTCAGGTCCCCCGCTGGTGCTCCTGGCCCCTTACTACTGTCAGGTGCCCCCACAGCAAGCAGCTTGCTATGGGGGCACCTGCTTCTCCGTGTGTCTATTCACACACAGAGCCGCATATTGGCCCAGCCCTCTCTATCCTCATTGGCTGACTGGCTGTGATTGACAGTGGCAGAAGCCAATGGCTCCCGCTTGCTGTCGCAGTCAATGAGCAGACCCTGTACAGCCGAGGCTGTCATGCACATCACTGGATCGCGCTGAAGCTCAGGTAAGTATTATGGGAGCTGGGGGGACACTGCTGCACACAGAAGATTTTTTATCTTCATGCATAGAATGCATGATGGTAAAAAAAAACCTTCAGCCTTTACAAACCACTTTAATGAAGAGAATGCAAAAAATTTAGACTTTGGAACTACTTTAAGCAACAACCTATATTAATGCTTACAAATGTTTAAAAAGTGTTAAAAAAAAGATCATGTAATGAACTTCTAAATATGACTAGTGATACTAAAGAATCAGGTTTTTTTTTTTTATTATAAAATAACAAACATGGCATACTTACCTGCTCTGTGCAGTAGCTTTGTACACAGCTGCCCCGATCCTCTTCTTTTCAGGTCCCCTCCGGCGCTCCTGGCTCTTCCCCCTCAAGCAGTGCTCCTAGAGAAAGCTGCTTGCCTTGGGGATACCGCTTGCCTTGGGGCCTCACGCCCGAACCGCTGCTCTATGCGTCCCGCCCTCTAGCTCGCTCCTCCTGCTGCTGTCTCAGCCAATGAGGAGGAAGAGTCCCCATACAGCTGAGGCTAATGTGAACATCGCTGAATCGGAGGGGGCTGAGGTAAGGATATGGGGGGAGGGAGGTTTTTTACCTTCATGTATAGAAGCCACAAAGGTAAACCTTGAGCCTTTAGAACCACTTTAAAATCATGTTTAAAAAGCAATTATAATGAATTATGGTCAATTTCTAAACCATTTTGCATTCAGCATGGATCGTCATACACAGGAGTACACAGTCTGTAGTTGTTATTTCAGTGCAGAATGTCAGCATACAATTTTGTAAGCCATCTTTCTTTTGCACCTCTTCTCCTTTGGAGCACCACAGAATTTGGACAACGTCCCCCATGTATGCGAAGTCTACAACATTCAGCTTCCATCCAGAGAGTATAATCAAGGTTCCCGCATAAGTATACCAGTCTCTTCCATAGCTCTGCCCAACTGGGCATGCTCCCAGATGGCACACTCACTCCCAGGTGATTTACCACTCACATCAGACGACTCTGGCCTGGTCTAAAAGGCGTTTTACACCCCAATCATGACCCGCAAAAGTTTAAAAAGAGTCAGGGCAACTACAGCTTTCCCTACTGAGTTCTGAACCATCTCGCCTGGAGTTGAAGCCCCATAGAGATCTGTTAGGTCAGTAGCCAATTACATCCTCGTAACTCTGGAGTGTTTGGCTCCCAAGCCCCATCCCACTAGGCCCCTCCTATTCCGATGCTTATATGGGAAGTAAATCCATCCAACACATCACTTTTCTCTAAAAGGGGCCTAACACCCAATTACTGCTTTTCCTTTACTTTATGATATTGGAAACAAAGCTACCTAGTGGCCAGTGAGCGAACTGCAACTGCCAACAAGCTCATGTAGATGTGGTGGTCACATGTCCATAAACTTTTGGCCATATACTGTGAACAGCAGAATTGAAAGTTTGTGAACTCATTAATGCAGGAGCACTCCAGCACTAGGTAATTTAAGGTTTTTAACAATCCTAGTGCAAATATTTGGCAGCATCATGGCATCCACAGTCTAACTGGTGTGTCTGACTTGATAAAACAAACGTGACTATGTATATTTATTTAGAGGAATACGCTTACTTTCACATTCTGTTCATGTCAAGCAAAGAGGAGAGGTTGGTGTGCTCTGTTGCAGAGCATTGTACACGGTGACACACCTGTATGGTTATTCAGCATTCATCTCTTTGCAAACAAAAGGCAGTAGAATTTCACACATATTTTACTGGCATGCTTTACTTTGTCATATGTATGTTCTGAAATGTCAGTGTGGATTTGTCCTTTAAAGCTGAACTTCAGGAAAACCACTAAATACACAGATGAAATGTATTTCTGTCCATCCATCCAGTTCTGAGATTTGCATACCCACCATACTTTTTCTTTTTTTTTTTTTTTTCCTGCAATTTTATTGAGTATTTATCCAGTAATTTTAGGATAATGAGGAAGATTTTCTTAAAAGCTCACCCATCCACTGAAAATTGCCTTTCCTGAGTTTCCCTGTTGCTTTGCTTGTCTGACATACTGTGTTACAATGTTTGGATCTGGGTATTGGCTACTCGGACCTGAGCACTGCATCCCGGGCAGAAGGGAGAGGGGTAGGAAACTGGAAATGTGACACATTTTCTCTAAATCAGAATTCATGGTAATTACAGTAGAACTATGGGCAAAACTTTTTTTTTTCAGGAAGGATTGATTTTGTACACACCGTCAAAATTTCATGGAGACCATTAAAAGGATTGTATTGGAAGTACAAAAATCAAATCTTTTTCTTTTCAATCTCTTCTATGCACTAATACAAATAAAAGGTTGTTACAAGCATCACTACACTTCTTTTAGATATTATTTTTAGTAAAGAGTCCTTTATTCTTTTCTGATGTTAACCGGGAAGGGCAAAATCTTTCTAGTAAAACAGAATTATACATTCCACAGTCTCCATGTAAAAAAATATTACTGTAACAAATGGAGCTTTTGCTGCGGAGGAGAGAATATATTTTCTGAATGAATATAGCTTTGTTCTGATTGATGTCACTGTAGGGCGATTTGTCAGCCTGAAACGCCACACTGCCACCTGGGCTGTTAATCAAGCCTGTAATATCGCTGTGTTTATGCTGCAAATAAGGATGTATGTTTTACGCTGTTAGTTTATCATGAGTTTGGAAATCAAATGTGTTACTAGCCAGTTTTATAGCACTGTGCACTATTAAATGAAAATATTTTATGAGCCAGAATATAGTCCTGAGGTTTTGTTAGCTTTTTTTTGGCTTTGAGCTTGATTAACCACTTGCCCTCCAGAGGATTTACCCCCCTTCCTGACCAGGCCATTTTTTGCTGTTTGGCACTGCTGCGCTATTTCAACTGGTAATTGCGTGGTTGTGCAATGCTGTACCCAAACAACATTTATGTCCTTTTCACACAAATAGAGCTTTCTATTGGTGGTATTTGATCACCTCTGCGGTTTTTAATTTTTGCCCTATAAACAAAAAAAGACTGCAAATTTTGAAAAAAAAACAAAAACATATTTCACTTTTGGTTATAAAAAAAATATCCTATAATCTCAGTTAGTCATAAATTTAGGCTAAAATGTATTCTGCTACATGTATTTGGTAAAAAAAAAAAAATCTTAATACAGTATATTAATTGGTTTGTGTGAAAAGTTTATAGTGTCTACAAGCTATGGTATATATATTGGAATTTATGTAACAGTTACTTTCTGACTGCCTCACATTTTTTGAGGTGCTAAAATGCCAGGGCAGTACAACCCCCCCCCCCCCCACTGACCCCTTTTTGGAAAGTAGACACCCCAAGGACTTTGCAGAGAGGCATGTTGAGTCCATGGAACATTTTATTTTTTGCCACATTTTTTTGAATGACTATTTTTTACATGGTTGTCACTTTAATGATATATTGCTCATGCATGCCGTGGGTATATGTGGAGTAACACCCCAAAACACATTCTCCTATGTCTTCCAAGTATGGGGATACCACATGTGAGAGACTTTTTGCCAGCCTAGCTACATGCAAGCCCCCAAAATCCAATGATCTCCTCCAGGCTTTCAAAGGGCATATTTTCTCATATCACTTCACCTATCACAGTTTTGGAGGATATGATAGTACAAACACCACTCCCCAAATGACCCCTTTTTGAAAAGTAGACACCCCAAGGAATTTGATAAGAGGCATGGTATTTTACAGATATAATTTTTGTGACAGGGTTTTGAAAAAGGAAAAAAAGAAAAAATACATTTTGTTTTCTTTTTTCGTTTTCCAAAAACGTGGCAACAAATGAGATATGCAAGACACTCACCATGCCTCTTAGCAAATACCTTGGAGTGTGTCTATTTTCCAAAAAGGGTTCATTTGGAGGGGTTGCTTCTATTATCCTGGCATTTCAGGACCAACATTAGAAGCTTATGCCACACATCACCCACTCTTGAAGACCAAGCCTTTTCTGACACTTTTTATTTACATGAAAAAACTTTTTCTTTGCTAGAAAATTACTTTTAACCCTCAAACATTATCTATTTTTTTTAAAGCAGAGGCCCTAGAGAATAAAACAGTGGGTGTTGACATTTTTTACATCACACAGTATTTGCGCAGCAATTTTTCAAACGCAAATCTTTTGGGGAAAAATACACTTTTTAGAATTTTAATGCACAACAGCACAATATATTGCCCAATTGTTTGATAAAATTGAAAAGATGATGTTCAATAGATACCAAACATGACATGCTTTAAAATTAAAGTACATACATATTATTATCGATAGGTGACACTTTAAAAGCCTACAGGTCACCAATTTTAGGGTAATGTCCCTTCTCTTCCCACTGCTCGTAAAAACAATTCAACAGCTAATTGGCCACTAGGATTATTTTTACATGAAAGCCGACAAACAGCTGAAAAAAACTGTACCAGAATGATGCCTGTAGCAGTGACGTACCAGTACATTGCTGGTCCATGTTTGGTATATATGTAACAGCAGAGAATACGATGAATTGGCTCTGTGGCTCACCATGACCGCAATTCATTCTTTTCTGTAATGCCCATGTTGAGGGTTAGGCCCAAAAGAGTTTTAAATTCAGAAACTGTAATAGGTTTCCATGCAAATTGTCTGGAAAGAGCTGAATTGGGTGGGTGGCCATGTATAGTTGTGCGTATAAATTTCCTTGGCCCACAATCAGTTGGTACAAATCTTCTGTGAAAACCAGCAGAGGGGCTAAACGCTAGTTCTGGCAGCGAACGGGGCCGATCCTGCTAACTCGTTTTTGGGGATACTATACAAAGGAGGCACTAGTATGGTTTTGTTCGGGATCAATATATTGATCCGTACAAACACTATATATATACTATACTAGTAATGGGGGTGATCAGCGACCTATAGTGTGCGGGCAATCTGATGCTAGCTGAGCCTGGCTGGGTGGGGCGCTAACTAACCCTGATGTTATCTGATGTCGCTAGTAGCAGGAATGCAGTGACAAATTCTAGTAGTGCTTTTACTCGGTGCGGTGTTCTCACTTCTCTCCCTGGACTGACGGCTGTGGGGGGCGCAGGTTTGTGCACACCCCAAAATAGGAAGCGACGCAAGATTACATCGCCTGCAAAATGTGGGTAAGCGGTTGGCAAGTAGTTACGTTTTTTGTTTTTTTTTTAACATTTTAGCAGAATAGTACAATGTTACCATAGTAACATTGTACTACTGTGGGGGGGGGGGGGGGGGTTGATCAGGGATTTTTTTTCTTTTTTTTTTTTTTTTTATGCTTTGCTTTGCAGGAGAAATAAAGGTCATTTCTCCTGCAATGCAAAGCTTGCTGTCAGAACCAAACTCATTCATGAACTGTCATGAATGAGTTAAGTTTTGACAGCTCAGGATAGTGATCTGTGATTTGCAGGAGCTGGTCACATGGTACAGGGTGCTGTGATTGGCCCCATGTATTATGTGACAGCTGTGGGCTAATCACAGCTCACTAGGAAGAGAAGCAGAGCTGTTATGAATGAGATTGATTCACAACTGTTTTGGTTACATTGTGATCATGTGATGGCATAGCGATCACGTGATCACTGGGTCCCGTTCACCGGGATCTTCAGCACAGCAGTCACTGGGGGGGGGGGGGGGGGGGGCGCGCTGCGTGCCCCCGTGTTAGTACAGCCAGAGCGACTTACGGGTACGTTGCTTTGCCTGTAGCTGCCGCTCTGCTGCAGTACATTGCGGGCAGGAAGCAGTTAAAATATCCCATAAAAAGCCAAGAAAAATTGTGATATTACAGGTATTCGATGGTGAGTACATTCATTTTAATTATTTTAATATGTTTTTCCTTTTATTTTCACCTGGTAATATTTGTTTGTAACACTTTTCCTGTCTTATAATGGCAGCTTCTACTCACTGTACTGTATCCATGGAGGAGCAGTGTCACATAGAATAGGCCTATGGATCAACTCCCCAAAGCAAACAGGAAGGGCTGACTAAGTCCATTGGGTTCCACCTAAAAAAAAAATCATTTACAGGTGGACTGACTTTTTAGGAAAACATGGGGGTCACAGAAATCTTCCAGGAAGATACAGTTTATGCCATCTTTTTAGCAAAAAGGTTGGGGGACCCATTCCCACATGACAGCACTCGGGTCTAGCGACTGGGTACAGAAACAGCCAGAACTGCATTTTAGATGAGCGAGTCACCATAAGTAAGAAAGCCGCATGCGACCACATACCTGGAAGTACTGACTATTTCACATTGCTGCAGCACGGAACTGAAAAGAAGTTTGGAGCAATGTTATCATGATCCATTTTGAAGAATGCCACAATCATATTGCCATGGTCCATTTTATTTAAAATCAGGATGCTGTAGGCAGCATTAGTCTTGACATGTTGTCACATCCAGTGTTACACCAAATAAAGAGCAACAAAGTAGATGATCTAGTGTTAATTTCTGTTGTCAATTTTCAGACTCCCATTTTATCTTATGAATTTGAATGATTTTTTACTTTTTTTATCTTCCAGTGAATATGGTTTTGCAGAGAAAGTAGTAGAAGGAATCTCCCTGTCTGTCAATTCCATCATCATCCGCATGAAAGCCAAGGCATTCAATGCTTCATTTGAGTTGTCCCAGCTAAGAATATTCAGTGTCAATGCCAACTGGCAACATAGTGATCTGCGCTTCACTCGAATACAAGACCCGCAGCATGGAGAGGTAGGATAAAGCAAAATGTGCTACATTTTTAGATTTTTCACCTTGTTTAGGGAGTACGTTCTTCGCATAACTGTGTAGGACACCTACATGTGTCAAGTCACATGATTATATTTAAGTAAAATTAAAAAAAAAAAACAAAAAAAAAAACTCCTGTTCCTGCAACTAGATATGTTCCAGACTATGCTGCCGGCAGTAAATCCAGTGCACCCCAAGGTGCACTTTCCAGCTTGGATCACCACAACTTGCCATGTTGAAACCCGAAGAGACACAACAGATCTGCATGCCATATTATCTGCAATGGAAATGTTTTTTTGTTGGGTCTCCCAGTGGCTACCTTCTACGAAGTTGTGAAGGTGTTGCAGGGCAGAGTCATGTCACTCCATAGCTCTGTCATATCCATTCCTACATTTTTCTTGGATTACATAAATAGCCAACGGAGATTGCGATCCACATGGTCTCTGGCCACCTATGGCACTGTGGCCATTGTATGTTTAAATAGAAACTGCAGAGATTCTCCATGAGACGGTCAGAGTTGGGACATGCTGCAAGCGGAGGACAATGATTGTAGACAAGCTGTAAATGTTGTTTGAAAGTGGGGCACAGTACTACAGAAGATGGTGAGAGACTGGAAACATGCAATAGGAGATGGTCTGAGATTACATGGTTCATACTCACCAACACTCTATACAGATGCATATTTCATGTGTATTGTGAAGATAAGCTCTCATAATTCAAATGATTACCAACCCTTTGTGGGTTTCCAGGTCACCTTTCAAAGGTGACATGGTGACAACACATTCAGCAAATACACATATATACCCTGGTGTAACCTATAGCAACTGTGCGCCCCTCCATGTGATGTCATGATGTTTAATCCAACCACACACAGTGAGGAGTGCTAATTATTTCATATCTTATCTGGTTCTGGCAAGGTACCATCTGTAGCAATCCCTTCATGCACCCACTGATCATGCAGAAGTTCATGCTCTGTGAAGAGCACAGCTTCTACTTTTGGCTCAGTCAGAGACTACAGACATGCTGCAGGAGATCGACAGGGACTGGAGAGGTGCTACATTAGTCTGCTAGAGAAAGTATACAAATCAGTAATTTTGTCTTCCCTGCAGCCCTCTTAAAAACTACAGTCCAAACATTTGATATTTCCCACAGCAAGATCGAATATAACAGATCAAAGAGAAATAAAAAAAAAACATATAATGCACAGAAATTACAGAAAATAAGAGCAAAAGAAATAAACCAAACCATTTAACCTGCAGAAGCAGTGCTAGATTATATGAAGCAGATAAAAACGTGTTGCCAAACAATACAAATGAACAATGTCCAACAAATGAGTGGCAGGGACATAAACATTGCACTGTGACATGTCCCAAAAATAGAACTTGACCGGATATTAGTCCCAAACTGTGATGTGATCAAATAAAGAACAAACAATAATAGTGACTTCTATGTTACTCCTCCACCATTATGCACTCACCAGAAGCAAGTAGCAAACCAGCATTGAATGAAATCTGCTTGATTCTTATCTCCAGTCACCGATCCATCCAAGGGTGGGATCCCTCCTAAAGTGAGAGCTCACAGAGTCGGGTGACAGCGCAATATAGTGTAGAATATTTATTTAAAGTAATAGCAACCACGTGGAGCTGAATACAAACTGAGGAATAAAACCGCTCACAAAGATGGACGCCGGACCATCACATGGACTCGGCGGTGCTGACATCACGCTGTGGCGGCCATCTTTGTGAGTGGTTTTATTCCTAAATTTGTATTCAGCTCCACGTGGTTGCTAATATTTTAAATCGATTTTATACTACACTATATTGCACTGTCTCCAGCCTCTGTTTGTGAGCTCTCACTTTAGGAGGGATCCCACCCTTGGATGGATCAGTGACTGGAGATAAGAATCGAGCAGATTTGCTTCAAAGAGTCATTTCATTCAATGCTGGTTTGCTACTTGCTTCTGGTGAGTGCATAATGGTGGAGGAGTAACACGGAAGTCACAGAAGTCACTAATATTGTTTGTTCTTTATTTGATCACATCACAGTTTGGGAGTAATACCGGTCAAGTTCTATTTTTGGGACATATCACAGTGCAATATTTATGTCCCTGTCACAGTGGGCAAAAAAGTATTTAGTCAGCCACCAATTGTGCAAGTTCTCCCACTTAAAAAGATGAGAGAGGCAATTGGCATCATAGGTAGACCTCAACTATGAGAGACAAAATGAGAAAAAAAAATCCAGACAATCACATTGGCTGATTTTGGAAAGAATTTATTTGCAAATTATGGTGGAAAATAAGTATTTGGTCAATATCAAAAGTTCGTCTCAATGCTTTGTTTGGATATATCCTTTGTTGGCAATGACAGAGGTCAAACGTTTCCTGTAAGTCTTCACAAGGTTTGGCACACACTGTTGCTGGTATGTTGGCCCATTCCTCCATGCAGATGTTTTTGGGGCTGTCGCTGGGCAACACGGACTTTCAACTCCCTCCAAAGGTTTTCTATGGGGTTGAGATCTGGAGACTGGCTAGGCCACTCCAGGACCTTGAAATGCTTCTTACGAAGCCACTCTTTCGTTGCCCAGGTGGTATGTTTGGGATCATTGTCATGTTTGGAAGACCCAGCCACGTTTCATCTTCAATGCCCTTGCTGATGGAAGGAGGTTTGCACTCAAAATGTCACGATACATGGCCCCATTCATTCTGTCCTGTACATGGATCAGTTTTCCTGGTCCCTTTGTGGAGAAACAGCCCCAAAGCATGATGTTGCCACCCCATGCTTCACAGTAGGTATGGTGTTCTTTGGATGCAACTCAGCATTCTCTCTCCTCCAAACACGACGACGTTGTGTTTCTACCAAACCGTTCTATTTTTGTTTCATCTGACCATATGACATTCTCCCAATCCTCTTCTAGATCATCCAAATGCTCTCTAGCAAACTTTAGATGGGCCCGGACATGTACTGGCTTAAGCAGGGGTACACGTCTAGCACTGCAGGATCTGAGTCCCTGGCGGCGTAGTGTGTTACTGATGGTAGCCTTTGTTACGTTGATCCCAGAACTCTGCAGGTCATTCACTAGGTCAACCCGTGTGATCCTGGGATTTTTGCTCACCGTTCTTGTGATCATTTTGACCCCACGGGGTGAGATCTTGCGTGGAGCCCCAGATCGAGGGAGATTATCAGTGGTCTTGTATGTCTTCCATTTTCTAATTATTGCTCCCACAGTTGATTTGTTCACACCAAGCTGTTTGCCTATTGCAGATTCAGTCTTCCCAGCCTGGGAAGAGCTGAAGGCCACTATTGAAGCATCCTGGTCTTCCATAACACCTTAGCAGTGCCACAGGCTGATAGCTTCCATGCCACGCCGCATTGAGGCAGTAATTGCTGCAAAAGGGGCCCAAACCAAGTACTGAGTACATATGCATGCTTATACTTTTCAGAGGTCCGATATTGTTCTATGTACAATCCTTGTTTTATTGATTGCATGTAATATTCTAATTTTTTGAGATTGTGGATTTGGGGTTTTCATGAGCTGTAAGCCATATTCATCACAATTATGACAAATCACGGCTTGAACTATCTTGCTTTGCATGTAATGAGTCTATCTCATATATTAGTTTCACCTTTTAAGTTGAATCACTGAAATAAATGAACTTTTGTATGATATTCAAATTTTTTGAGTTTCACCTGTAGTGTGTATTTATTAATCCATAGGACACACAACACCAGGACATGAATACTGGACCTGTTAACGTGTTTCACATGATCTTGTGCTTAATCATTGGCTAAACACAGATAGTGGGGATCACCCCCCCATTCCCTCCTCACAGAGTTTGACTGACAGCAGCAGGAGCCAATGGCCCCTGATGCCTCAGCAAAACCTGTGAAAGGGGGGAGAGAGGACAGAGCTGCAACAGACACACAGCCCTGGATTAAGTGAGGACTAAGTTAAGTAGAAGGGGGGTGTGAGGGGGCAATACTGCTACTTAAACATTTTTTAACTTAATGCAAGGAATGCATTAAGGTAAAAAATATTTAGGTTTTAGAACCACTTTAAAAGCAAAAGTACCCTATTGTAACTAGTATAATGTGTGTAGGTGAGCCCATACTGTTGCAATTTCAGATTTAAGAAGTGTGAAGTTAGCTGATGAGATCTTTTTTGTCTCCTAAGGTGTTGACATTTAAAGAGATAAACTGGCAGATGATTCGGATAGAAGCAGACGCCATCCAGAGTTCCGATCATGAAATAATGAGCGCCCCTGTCCGTCTTATCACCAACCAGTCCAAAATTAAAGTCACGCTGAAGAGGAGAGTGAGTGCGAATGTTCCTAGTGTTATTGCAACATGCTGAATCTCAGTGTCCCTGCCATCTGTCTCTCTCTGTGAACAGATCTCTGTAAAATGTGTTTTGTGTTGCATTCGTTTTATAAATCATATTCTGTTCATATAGTTGCCATTTTATATAGCAGTTGTGCGTTTTGTTTCTCTTTTAGCATTTATTTGACTGTGGTTGCACTCTGACTCTCAGGATCAGAGTGGGAGGGCCACTATGGTGAGCCCCCCAGTACTTTGAGCAACCCTCTGTTGCATTATGTGATGCTCTTTTCCTGCTTAGACAATAGTTAAGGAGAAAAGCCAAGCGTTCAAGAGAGGGGAGAGAACAGAACTTTGCCCGTGCCTGATGTTGATTTAGAAAATTATTCATGTAGCCAAAAATATTGAGAGAACTGAATAGGCATCTACTGGAGCACCAATTCTTAAAGCTGCATTGTCAACCATCCCTGAAAAAATCTTAATAGATGTTCCCTTCTGTAGAAGAGGTAATATACTCGTCTCTGTGGTGGCCTGTGTCTCCTACTTTCTCCCCAGTCAAGTGCTGCAGCTTACATCAGACTCATAAGACCTTGACATGTCCTGGAGTGTCGGATGCCTTTGTTCTCTGCCTTGTGCTGTGGTACCATTCCCTAAACCCCTGTGTCACTGCTGAGCCCTTGATGAAGTGGCTGTCCAGGGGGGAAAGTAGTTGGTAGAGTCCCTAGAGCTATAATACTTCATTTGCAGCCAACTGTTATAAGTTTTTTTTCTGGGTGACAGTGTCGCTTTGACACCTTGTGAGAAAATTTTATATAAAAAAGGAACGGATAGAACTGCCATATGGTGCTTTTTTTGCTATATATGTGTTCTACTTTAACAGAGTTCCTCTCACTTTGTGTACTGGTGACCACATAGGAAGTTAATACGAATGTACCCAACAGAGGTACAAATGACAATTAAACCTGACAGGTTTCAAAGCCTCCGAGCTCTGTTAGAAAGAGTAGTTTTAGTGTCATCTGTCTCTGTTTCTGCCCTGGTTACAAAATTGTAATGAAAATGATCTCATTTTTGCTGACCTGACCTAAAGCAACCCTTGTCTTCCCTAGATGTATGCTAACATTAATTGTGCAATTTCTGCTTGCATGAATGTTCAGCCTTGGGCTTATATTGTCCTTAATTTCTGCTGCACATGGGAATTAGATCCCCCTAGACTTCTACTGGAATGTCTCTCAAGCATCTCCTGTATCTGGGGGTAGTCCTGTAGACCTCTCCAGTAATCTACTGTGCGCCCAGGGTAAACGATCATTTCAGTCCAAGGCACTGAAGATTCCTGCAGGCCACAGCCATCTGATTAAGATCAGTATGCATCTGGAACAGGGTGCCAATTGTAAAAAAATTCTCGAATGACAAAGGCTTTTTTTATTTGACATAGAACCATTATACATGGATTGTATTGTTCTTTATGGTTTTCCGATCATGCGCAATTGTTAGCATCAGATTTCTCTCGTACAAAAACAGGAAGCATTAAATGAAAATCATTAGTACTGTTCAGGTATGAGAAAAATTTTGGACTTTGTTCCTTCGGAAATTTCGTTTGGAAGGTCTGAATCGGCTGTTGAAAGTTGTGTACACACTAAAAGTACACATCAAAAAATCATATGATCATTCCTCACACGGAAACGTTCACCCGATTTTCTTATAGTGTGTATCCTAGGGAAACAAACAACAATATAATCCAGATACATTTCTACATCAAAAAAAAAGCGCCTTTGTTCAGAATTTATGTACAATTAGTACCACCTTCGGGTACGACATGCTGTGAACAATCGAGGAAAACTGGACGATTGCTCATCCGACTTTCCTATAGTGTGTACCTAGTTTTAAGGGAGGTGTCTATAGCTCCAGGATAACTGTGCTTTTGTATGAAGGTAGTGTGCAACAGTAACGAGCAGGAAGGAGAGCCAGCATATAAAGTAAGCAAATACAGTATGGTTGCTCCATTGTTTTCACTTTCAATAGCTTTTATTAGATTTTGATACAGCTAGAGATCGTTATGTATTGCTAACATTTACTGTTAAAATGCAGCAGCCTATTCTATGCAAACCTATTGAGTATACATTTACAAACTGTATACAGAAAAAAGTTGTTAAAATATGAATGTTCATTGATGACAAAATATTTTTTTTTTTTTTTTTTTTTGTATTCCTGGTTACATGTACTTACAGAATATATATATATTTTTTAAAAAAGTACAAGTCTATAGATTCCCTTTTAAGGTCCTTTCACACAGGTGTTCCATTTTTTTCATCAGTTCAGTCACGTTTTTTCCAAGAAAAAAACGGATCAGTTCACATCAGTTTTTTTCATCCGTTCACACCAGTTCTTCATTAGTTTACATCAGTTTTTCATCCGTTCACATCAGTTTTTCATTGGTTCACATCCATGTTTACATAGTGTGTTTTTTTTTTTTTTACATCCTTTACCAATGCAAATACAGACCGTATGTCTATTTACATCTGTTTTTAGTCCGTTTACATTTGCTTTTCATTCGTTTCTGTTTATATCAGTTTTTCGCCCGTTTACGTCAGTTTTTCGTCCATTCTGGGGTTTTTTACGGAAGAAAAATAGGTGTTTCTTCTGTTCCAAAAAATGGATGTTAATGGATGCAAACATTAACAGATGTAAAAAGATGATCATCCATTTACATCCACTAGTCCATAGAAATACATGGGTGTCCATTTTACATCCGTAAAGGGACAGATGAAAAACGGATATATGGGACACCAGTGTAAAAGCAGCCTTAAGGTTTTACTTACTGACACCACCATGTGCGCTTATGATATGCCTCATTCTCAACAGCTTAAAGACTGTAATGTGGTGGCCTCGAAGCTGGTGCTGATCCTGGATGACTTATTGTGGGTGCTGACGGACTCGCAGTTGAAGGCAATGGTTCAATATGCTAAATCTCTTAGCGAAGCAATAGAAAAGTCAACAGAGCAAAGGAAAAGCATGGCCAGAACCGCAGAGCCCACACAGGTGAGTTAACCCAGCTACCCTGTCTATCCTAGCCATCAGTGCTGGTGTAAAGTGTCACTTCAGTGATTTTATTGTACTGCAGTGTTTTACAGAGTAACTAGGTTATTACATCAGTTCCTGCTCCCGAATGAGCGGACAGTCTATTAACCCTACCACAGACACACTCACACTCTGAGGCCAAATGCTTGTGAAGTGAAGTTCATACCAACAGGGTAGAAAACATACTTATTCCATGTAGATTGCGTCCTTGGGGGTAATTGACTGTGTGAACACAGTGCTGCAAGCCATCAACCACTTGTTAGTTCACATTTTGATAGTGTTGTCAGTCAGTACAGTCAGCCATACGTGGATTGCAATTCTTCTGGTTCAGCAGGGACCATAAAAATTTCGATCCATGTATGGGCACCCTGCTTGAACTCAATCTACTGCCCGTGTTTTTCTTTTTTTTTTTCCTGCTGGTTGAATGGAAAAAAATGATGAATGAATGGACTGTCTCAGTTAATATCCTACCATCTTTGCTGCCAGCAGTGAAACATTGTAGAACTATCACAAAGGAAAAAAGGGGTGGCTACAGTAAGATAATGCAGTCTTTAAACAGAAAGGGGAGTCACTATTATTATTATTATTATTATACAGTATTTATAAAGCGCCAATAGTTCGCTCAGCGCTGTACATTACAAAAGGGAGACAGAACATGTGACAGAACAATACCAATACAATGCAAAACATGAGGGGATCAAGGGCCCTGCTCTTTCGAGCTTACAATCTAGGAGACTAGAAGGTAGTAAGAGTGCAGTAAGATTAGATTATGTAGCGCTACCCTCGTTGAGTACCACTGTGTTATGGGTACCCCTAAGCTTCTTTCTGCACAGCCAGGCAACAGGTATTTCTCACACAGACTTGCATCCAAGAGACAGTAACCAGTCCATGGGCTTAGTTTCATTATATTATTAGGAGAAATCAACTTGGGTAGGGAAAATGGGGATTATGGGATGCCCAGTTGGCTTGAATCAATGAAGGTGGGACAACTTCCTTCTTATGTACAAAGACAGATCCTGGACTGTTCTTTTCTTGAGAGACATCAGTCATTGCAGATCAGTAGTACTCACAAACAGCGAATAAAATCAGGCATGTAAGTCCTCAGAGGGACTTCAAAGATAAGAAACCAGCGCGAATCTCATCATGTGGGTAGACATTCAGTACAGCTGACGCATTTCGAAGGACATGCCTTCTTCATCAGAGCTAACTGGACTGAGAGTACTCTCTCCCATTTAAGCCCAAGGACTGAAGTTTGGCCCCCAACCCAGAGGGGAGGGCATCCATTTGCCACCCGCCTGGGTCATAGAGCGCAGGAGAAATCGCATCTGGTCTATAATCGTGGCTAAACGCTAATGCAATAACGCTAAAAAAAGCTGAAAAACTCAATTTTTTTAATGTGACTTTACACCGCTAACGTTACCAGCGTTCTCAGAACATCAAGTTTGCATGAGGACTAAAAATGCTCTAACGCAGGTAAACGCGGTAAAATGCAGCAAACCAGCATTCTTGAGCCAAATTTTAAAAAACACAGAAAAATGCAGCTAAACATGGCAAATATTCTAATGCATAAACACTAAAAACATGGAAAAACTCACGTTTTTAATGCAACTTTATACAGCTAATACTACCAGCGTTTTTTAAAATGCCCAGTGTTCATGAGGCCTAAAAGTGATTTCTGCGTTGTTTTTGCTCCAAAGATCCTCGCCTACAACACTACACTTGATGAAAACATTTTGAGCTTATACAGGTGCAAGTGCTTATTCCTCCCAGAGGTTCCACTTTATATCTTATATACAGATTGAAACAAATCTTTTGGCTTCCTCGGACCAAGGCTGTTTCATGCCAGGGCCTCTGCTGAATGAGTGCTAAACCAGCAGCTTTGTATATGTAATATGTATACTGTACTGTTTATGCAGATATGTGTTTGTGATAGAAAGCAGGACTGTGGGGAGGAATAAGCGTTTGAATGGCTGAGCTTAGGTTCAAAAACCCCTTTTCTGTTGGTTCCACTAGAGGAATGCATTATTTTTTGGGCTGGTGCTCAATTCAAAAATGTTGCCAACTGTCTTTAGAAAGACAATTAGGGCACGTCCACACCATGGTGCAGAGACGTCAGTTTTTCTGCACATGTTCTGCAAGGGCACAACAAAATCAATTCTCTATATGCCCTGTTCACAACACTCACGTGCAGATATTTTTATGTGCAGGAATTTGCAATGTGTATAAAAATCATTGCAGCGTGCATAAAAACTGATGTAAACTGATGTCTCTGCAAAGTGAAATCTGCACATCAGTTTCTCTGTTCTGGTGTGAACAAGCCCTTACACAAGAAAAGCAGAAAACCTGCATTCACACTTGAGCGTTTTATAGCTTGAAGCTCGAAGCTCCAAAAATGCTCAAACTTAAAAAGTCAATTGTTCTCTATGGTGCCTGTTCACATGATCAGGTGTGAACAGGCATCATAGAGAACAATTGATTTTTTTTTTTTAGGTTTGAGCTTTTTTAGAGCTTCAAGCTACAAAACGCTCAAGTGTGAATGCAGCCTAACTGAAAGAAAAAGTAATTTTAGAACATAAACGTAAAATGTATATAAACTTAAATACCTATTTTGGCAATATCTGGCATAATTCCTTACTGTATACCAAATCTCCAGGTTTCTTTTTTTTTTTTCTTTTTTTTTTTCACACTGCTGTGATCTGACTTCTTGTTAGACAGTGGCTACATTCCCAAGAAGGGACCTCTTGCATTGATAAACTTTCAGGACCTATGAGAAAGCACTGCTAATGTTAGAGCTAACAAACCATCAGGGTAGGGTGATCAGTCAGATGCAGGGGTGGACTGACCATTTGGAAACCCGGGCACTGCCCGAGGGCCCGGGGTCACTAGGGGGCCCCATGAGATGCCCTAGGTACCTTTTTCATAGGCTTTTTTGAGTTTGGGCAAGGACACAGGGGCCCCATGATCCCCTATTGCCCGGGGGCCCCATGAGTTGTCAGTCCGCCCCTGGTCAGATGTTTTAGCCCCTGTGGACATGACTGTTTTCATCCCCTTCTTAAAACCCTATAGAAATAATTGAATCAGAGGGTGGGTATATTTTTTCTCCAGGGTCCCACTGTATGAAGAAACATAGTCACCCTATCTTGCTCACTCCCAAGATGGACTAAGGGCTATGGACCTTGGGATTGGTAGTGTACATAGAGCAGTGTGCATGACCACAACTCGTGTGCACTGCTGCTTCCGTACAAATGGAAGTAAGCTATGCATGAAGGTAAATAAGCCTTCTGCATGCAGCTTCCCCCCCAGCCCCCCCCCCCCTTATTCTTACCTGAGCCTGATCTCAATCCAGCGATGTGCACAAGAGCGAAGGCTCTCTCCTTTCTCTCACTCCTTATAGGCTGAGATGCAGCAGCAGGAGCCATTGGCTCCCACTGCTGTCAATCGCAGCAAGTGAGGAGGCAGTGGGGGTGGAGCCAAGCAGTGTGCTCTGTGTCTTATGGACATACAGGGCCGCCTCGGGAATGAGCATGCACGAGTATCCCCATAGCAAACAGCTTGTTTGTTATTTTAAAGAAAAAATTGAATGTTTAGTATCACTTTAAGCAACTGATTTTTTTGTGAATCTGTTGCAACATTACTTTTATGGAGACTGTTTCTGACTGACAGTGCTAGGAAGCAGCCTTCCAATAAGTGGTGTTGTCTGCCTGCATGAGCACGCTTCTTTAGTTGGCTGTTGGGCTGCTTATCCGGTCAGCGGAAGGTGAACTATCACCTGATAGGCTGCTCAGCAGCCATCTGAATGGAGTGCACATGGCAGGCTGACAACACTGATGCATGGCAGCAGGTTAGTGTGTGATATAGGCAGTCTGCAGAAAATGGTTTGCATAAGAAGCTGTAGAAACAGGGCTGCGGTATCTTTTTTTGCTCCTGGCTGCCAGCAATGTAATAGAAGACAGTCGGACAGTTTTAAAGCAGCCCAATCACATGGTGGGGAATATGTCTTGTATAAGCCTTCCTGAGCGTTCTACAAAGGTGAGCTTTAGAATTAGTTGTGCAGAAGAAAAGGTTTCATACAATGTTCACTTTTTCAGAGCTGGACACCTCCTACAAGCTCCCAACAGGTGAAGACCCAACAGTCCACCACAACCCCTGAGCAGAACCAGGCCATCCTAAAGCTGTTCCGAGACTTCGATGTGAAGGAAACCTCCTATCACCTAATCATCTCCCATCTGGACCTGCACATCTGTGATGACATTCACTCCAAGGAGAAAGGTGAACAGATTTGTGCCTTGTCCTCGGCCTGGAATTTCAGTGGTCCCTGAGCACCGTGGTGTACAAAGCACTTTTAGGGCTAGTTCACACCATAGAAACGCAGTGCATTCCAGAGCATTTTTTCCCCTATTTTTTTTTCTTCACCTAAAAGGCCCATTCACACCTTGTGCAGTTGGATGCATTTTTGATTGCACTTCAACTGCCTAGACAGTCCAAAATCCAGGCTATCCTATGGCATAGTTCACACCATTGCACTGCAGTGCAGTGAAAAACAAAAGTACAGCATGCTGCATTTTTCCGCACAGCAAACATGCAAACGCACTACAATGGATTGAAGTCCACATAGAATCCTAGGAGAAGAAAGAAGTGATGTCACAGGACAAATGCAGATAGAAAAATGTGCTTCAACTGCATGTAAATGCTCATCAATTGCATATAAATGTGCATAAAAACACGTATCAAATGCATGCATATGTGCAAGGAAGAACATGTAATAGATGTGCAGTTCCTAGTGTGAATGCTCCCTAAACAAGGACGTGTATTCTGGTGTGTTTTGGATGCATTTTGTCAGGTTCCAGTACAGTTTAGTGCAAAAAACAAAATGCAGCATGTTCTTATTTTTTCTTCTGGACCTGGAACACACTGGAACTGACCGCACTGGTGCAAACTATGTCATTGGAAACTATATAAACTACCATCCATGCATTTTTGATGCAGAAAAAAAAGTGCACGTTGTGTGAACTGGCCCTCAAAGTGGATCTTAATGCAAATAGCTACACTGTTAAAATATACGTATCTTTGGGCAGATAAAGCCATAAACATATATATTTCAAAGGCGTTTTTAACTTATTTGCCTGGCATTTCAGTACAGGATGAAATGAAAAACATGGTGGAATATATTTATTTATACATTTTCACAATTTTGCCCTGGAAAAAAATAAAAATGCAAAATCAATGTATCAAACAGCTGCAGCTCTTCCTGGAAATGGCACTTTTTTGCTAGTTTATTTTGACATCTCGCTTGTCTTGCCATACTATATATCGGAGCGTGAGAAGGGTTTACAAAAAGCTCATAACTGCTACTGTATTTGTTTTTTTTCTATCAGCTCATGGCTGTAATGTTAAAGTGATTCAGGCGATCACTTTTAAAATTCTGTGATTTAGCCCCTTGCAAAACCAACACCCATCCCTCTCTCTGTGGTTCCTGGGCTCTCCTGCTCTTCTTGGGAGCCTGGGACCACAACAAATGTTCTCAGGATGGTGAGCGGGAAGAGGTTGGAGAACATCTATTCCCCGATCTTCTCTGCTATTTATAAAGATGGAAGCGCTCAGCTCTCACGATCTCATCTTTTATTTTGTACAAAAAAGTTTTGTGTTTGAGTGCAATAACGCTCATTTTAGCATATATCGACAGTTGTGCAAATTTTGAGATACGTAAAAAAAATTGCAGCTGCAGTCTTTGTACTACAGGGCCTCTGCGTTCAGAAAATATATAATGGTCTGGGGGTTTTATGTGATTTTTTTTTTGCCAAAAAATGCAGATTGTTACATGTGTGCAAAAGATGAAAAAGTTGCGCTAGAGGGGAACTACTTGAGTGCCTGTATAGGCAAACCTTTTTATTTTAGGTGTAGGATCAAATAGTTAAACCAAAATGATAATCTTTCCAAAGTGAGGGGAGTTCCCCTCTTAGTTGTCACCCGAAACAGGTGTTCTCATTAGAAGATTTTCCCTCTATTCTTTCAATGACAAATGTAAAATGTTTGGATTTCCCATCACTTCCTGTCTCGGAAACAATGGTTACGAAGACAATAGAGGGTGAGTCTCCCCAGCAGGGGCACAGACAGCAAAGACACCTGAGGTACACTTTTTACTCTATCCAAAATTAGAAAAGCTTTTAACAGCACCCTGCTAGCCCTTCCCAGCTGCCTTGATCTGCCCATATTGCATAGAGAAGCACAAAGTCCCAGTGAAAACATCATTGGGTCTAAAATAAGGTATGCAATGAAAGCTAATAAGTTTAATGCAAACATTTAATAAGAATGTTGATAAGCACGGGGGGGGCAGGGAAATTTATTATAATTTATAATTATTATTTATATTGAGGTTTAATTCATAAAAGCACAATAATTTGTTTTATAGTATTACTTCCATGAGATGATAAAACCTTTTCTCAGCTTCCTTGTAGTTGTGGAAGTATGGTTATGTGATACATATCATGAACATTGTTTTGTTTTACAGCGTCGGACCGGAGGATCACTGGGGGCGCCATGCAGTTATCCTTTAGTCACCTGACCGTTGACTACTATCCTTATCACAGAGAAGGTATGTCTTTGTGTAGCTTGTGCTAGTCTGTTATGGAGTGATCGCAGATTTAATCTGCATTAATTGTTATATCAGGAATTTCCCAATGCCAAATCATGCATTTCTTTTCTTCTGAATTGATTCCTGCTTTTTCTAGGAATATTCGGTAATATAGATTTAGGCTTTCCCTGAGTGGAGTTTTTTGTCCCCTCAATTTTCTGTACTATCCCATAATTCCATGCAAGGGGTCTTTTAACAGCACATACAATGCGTTCTGAAAAAATTAGTCTGGTTAGGCAATTGTAGCATATAAATCCTAGGAGAGAGAACTACATACACAGAATATGCACCCCTCTCTCAGCTAAACCATGGATTTTAGGAGGTTAACAGAGAGGAATTATACAAATAAATACTATTTACTTAATAAAAAGTAAATGTTAAGTAATAATCTTAGAAATATAGCTTTACTAGTGAAGGAAAGCCGAGGGCTGGGCCCACAGATTCAGAGGGTACACGATGCCACACAGACACAGACAGCGGTTCTTTTAAAACAATTACGTTTACTGAACCGTTATAGTGATCATGTAGTTGAGCATACGTAAACAGAATGATAACAGTGCATAACCATACAGTAAGAATAATACTGTCTAACACTAACCCCGTACTTGCGGACTTTCCCCAATGTCCAGAAAGCAGCCTGGCTGCGCCTGAATGTTCCTGAACAAGATATAACGTTGGGGTGCACCCTAAGTATTGCACAATACTATTTGTAATCCAAAGGAAAGCGGAGTGTGTCTCTTATAACTTTCTGGTATATCCAAAATGTCACTGACCACGTGTGGTGCGATGTGCTGTGGCAAAGCCGCACTTGCAGTTCTCTGGCAGGCTCTTGGTGCTTTTTCCTGATCCACTCTAGAACCGGACCATACAGTCACTTGTTTCCTGGTCTCGTTGTGGTGAATCTTCCCTAGGTGCCGTCGCCAGACTCCACTGTGAGCCGTAAATCCTCTTCCAGGCCCCACACAGATTCTCCAGATGTCCTCAGCATATATCAGCCAGACACAAACTTCCTGTCACTTCCTCTTCTGCACCGGAACTCCTCCCCTTCCCATAGAGTTTGTGATGCAGTAAGTCATTTCTTAATTGCAACCTCAAACCTGCATTTACAGTTCACTATGACCCTTCTGAGGGTCCTAATCGGCCCCTAAATTACTATTCATTAAACTTTATAGGGTAGATAAGCATTTATCTTGTCTTAGCAAAAGTCACTGCAAAATCGATTCTTGTACTTTGCTGCCATCTACTGACCAAAGAGCATATTGCAGGCATATTACAGTTTAACATTACACATCAGTATTTCATGCCTCCACACCCTTACACTAGTATTATGTTCCTTACATCAGTTGAATGTCATTCGATACATTTGTAGCCCTTATACAATCATTTGTACCATCTAGAAGTCCCCTAGAAGCAGTGGTAGAGAAGTGTTTGGGTATGCAGATGGTAAACTCACATAGTAGGTAGCACATGGTACAGGTTTTGCGTAGCAGGTTTGGGGGAAGTGTCGATATGAAACAGACCAACATGTTTCTGGGGAATAGCTCCCCCTTCTTCAGGGCTCTAAAAAAACCCAACAGATACATATAATTTCAGTTATGCTCCTTTAGTACTGGGGTACAGGAGGGATATTCTTTAGGACTGTTTGTGATAGAGGTTATGAAATGTATAGTCTTTAGGAAGACAAGGTTGTTCTTCATATTCATTTGTATTTCAAAATTCTTCATATTGTAGGTAGAGTTCATTTTGATTACTTTTGGTCCCTTTAACCATAAACTGATGTTATAGGAATATGCAAGCTTATTTAAAGGCACTAACCTATGTTGGCACCTGGGGGGACTGACCATTTGGAAACTCGGGCTCTGCCCGAGGGCCTGGGGTCAGTAGGGGGCCCCATAAAGTGCCCCTGGTACCTTTTTTCGAGTTTTGGCAAGGACACAGGGGCCCCATGATCCCCTATTGCCCAGGGGCCCCATGAGTTGTCAGTTCGCCCCTGGTTGGCACGCCAGTAAATTGCTGTGAAAACGACACCAACCTTGTACCATACGCATCTTTTGTATTTCTGGTACCTGAACACCAAAGCTCCAATTATTTATATTCCAGGACAGATGTTTTCACTTCCTCTGCAGGCTGCCTTGTATATCATAAAGACCTTTTTATCCACTGCTTCTAAGGGTCCAACAAATCCAGCTTCCATACCTTTACCTGAAAGCAGCAGTGGCTGGCAGAATAGTAGTCAACAGAAGGAAATGCTGTTGGGAGGGAGAGGAAAACACCTGCAATTCCACTGTTGTGTGAGAGTTGGCATTTGCTTGTGAGATAACGGTTCATAGTAGTCTTATACACACACTGTCAGGTTGAACTGGATGGATTGATTTCTTTTTTCAACTTTCCCAACTAAGTAAGGCTACGTTCACACTAGCCTTGTTAGCAAGCGGCAGACAGGCGTTTGAGAAGCGTTTTTACCGTTTCCCAAATGCCTGGGAAAATTCTGCACATTGCAGCACATAGTGCTGTTCAAACGGGAGCGTTAGCGTCACGTCGCGGCAAAACGGACGCCTCTGAGTCAGGAGGAGTTGAAGTCTCCTATTCAAGTCTATGGTGCCGCTCCGCAAACGCACGGCCAGCTGCGACGCAGTTGCGAGGTGTTTGTGAGGCGTTTGCGGAGCGGTAACACCATTCAAACTTCATTATAGGCGTTTGTGGGGTGTTTTTTTTAACGCTTGGCAAACGCCTAGCAGCCGCCGCTAAATCGCGCATGCGGCGTTTGCGGAGCATTCAAACACTCCACAAACGCCGGACCAACGCTTGTCAAACGCTATAGGGGGGTTTGGCAAGAGGTGGAAAAACAGTCAAGTGTGAACGAGCCCTAACTGAGGTGCACTTGGAAGATCTTGGAGAAATGACTTGGTGAAGTTTGGTTGGCCAGCACAGTGAACGTTACAGGAGTTTTTAGGTTGACAAGTATAAATATTAGGAAAATTGTCAGCATTAGTTAGGGGAGGGAGAGTAGCTGAAGGATACATGTGCTAAAGGTGCACTAACCTGTTAAGAATAGTGTGCAGAGCTATGCGAATCATCGCTTCATGCCAGCTGTGCATTTTGCATTCACCTGTTTTTTACCAGCGATTTAACCTGAAATTCTAGAGAGATTTATTCCAACCTGCGTACAGTTGATTGGCAGCTGCGATCATGCATATTTAACAGGCTGTTGGAGAAGCTCTCTTTGTTATAAATATTTACGTGTTTAAAGTCATCTGCAGATAGCTTCTTAGCCCTCAAGCAGGAAATTTGAACCGACAGAATGTTTGAGTATTCTTGTAGAGCTCTCAGGAGGCAATAAGCTATCGGAAATGCTATAGAAAATTTTGGAAGTGCATACATGCAAATTAACTTGATTTTCCTCCTGCTATCTCTTTGCTTTATTTTAGTACACCAGATTTGACAACATAAATCCATGTTTCGGTTCCTTTTGAAGTAAAAATACCGCTTTTGAAGTGATCAAACGATAATCTGATCGTTAGTACACCGCTTTCATCAGAAATTATTTTACATATAGTTAGTCTGGCTGAAAAAGACAAAAGTCCATCAAGTTTAAAAAAAAAAAGAAGTTATAATCCTATACCCACAGTTGATCCAGAGGAAGGCACAAAACCCAGCAAAGCATGATCCAATTTGCTGCTGCAGGGGAAACGATTCCTTTGTGATCCCCCGAGAGGCAGGTGGATAGTCCCTGGGTCACCTTTACCTATTTATTTCAGGTACTTATATAGCGCAGTCATTTTACGCAGCGCTTTACACATATATATTGTATAATCACATCAGTCCCTAACCCTCAAGGGGTGTACAATCTAAGGTCCCTAACTCACATTCATACATATACATACTAGGACCAATTTAGACTAGATCCAATTAACCTACCAGCATGTTTTTGGACAGTGGGAGGAAACTGGAGTACCCAGAGGAAACCCACGCAGGCACAGGGAGAACATGCAAACTCCAGGCAGGTGGTGCTGTGGCTGGGATTCGAACCAACAACCTGAGTACTGCCAGGCGAAAGTGCTAACCATTTATCCACTGTGCTGCCCCTAAATGTTAGTAACCAGTTATATTCTGTGTATCAAGGAAAGAATCCATGCCTTTTTTTGCCAAAGCAATCCACTGAGCTATTTGAAGGGACGAGCAAAGAAATGTTTCTCGTACAATACCAGATTATGTGATTTTCAGTTAATCGGTAAAGTTTTTGCCCGAAAATACAATACAAATACATTACATCACTTCCGAAGTTTGATTCTTTCGTAGAAGAATTTCTGTAGCTTTAGTAACCTCTTCACTTTCATAGACTAGCATGCAAAAAAAAACGGACGATCACTCGTCCGATATTCTCGTCTTGTGTACGGGGATTTAGGATCTATTACTGTGGGGGGGGGGGGGGGGGGTCTTAGGGCCCCTCCCCAGCCAGGCAATTTCCAAAGAACTTTCAAGTTCTTACATATCTACTAATCTCACTAGAAAGTGACAGTTTTCTACCTGAATAGATTACTAATGGTCATGTTTACAAACGTACCTTATATTGCCTTCCTGCTTGATTTGCCTGAATATTGTAAAGGAGCTAAGATGTGTTTAAAAGTATAGTTACATTTTTAAGATGATCCCAGGATAAGTAAATATTATGTAAATACAAGAGGCGTGTGATTGTGTGTGTCTCTCTCAGATCTCTGTAGTAATCCAGTGAAAAGCATTGCCTTGGGGAAGTGTATCCTAAAATAGACTGGTCACTGTTGCTCGCTCTTCTTATACAGCCAGGGTGACTGGTCTGGTATCCGCCCCCTCCTGTTGTTTTTGTAGGCTGCTTGTAGTGGGCAGAGCCTTCTTGGGCCCCTCCCACAACTGCTCTTTGTGCACTACTTTTACAAGATAATAACTGGGTGTGCAAACGTTTTTGGTGCACAGAAATCATGCATCACAGAGCATCTTTGGGACATCTCTGTTTGTAAGGATTATGAAGACACTTGAGAATCTAGCTAAGTTGGTGCAGAGCTGCACAGGTGTGATCGGCACTTTCAGACAAACTTCAGACGAAACAACTGAGGAAAGGGTTTTGCCTTGAAAGGGACTTCCTGCCTTTTTCTCAGTGTCCAGTCACCTAAGGGCTCGTTCACACTAGGCTGTTTTGCCAACGCTTGCCAAACGCCCCTATAGCGTTTGGCAAGCGTTGGTCCGGCGTTTGCGGGGAGCGTTATTAACACTCGGCAAACGTTCCGCAAACGCTGCATGCGCGGTTTTAGCGCGGTTGCTAGGCGTTTGCCGAGCGTTAATAACGCCCCACAAACGCCTATAATGCAGTTTGAGTGGTGTTACCGCTCTGCAAACGCCCGGCAACCGCGTCGCCACCCGCAAAACGCCGGCCGGGCATTTGTGGAGCGGCACCATAGACGAGAATAGGAGGCTTCAAAGCCTCCTGACTCGTCCAGAGGCGTCCGTTTTGCCGCGACGCAACCCGACACGACGCAAACGCTCCCGTTAGAACAGCACCATGTGCTGTAATGTGCAGAATTGGCAGAGGCGTTTGGGAAGCGGTAAAAAACGCTTCCCAAACGCCTCTCTGCCGCCTGCACACAACGCTAGTGTGAACGTAGCCTAAGGGTGGCAACATAATTCTGTCTAAAGGAATATGAAGACACTCTGGGGTTGATTTACTAACTGAAAGGCAAATAGGCTGTGCAGTTGCACTCTGCAATAGCAGTTGTTCCAGAGCTTAGAAAATGAGCAGAAGCTCTGCTGACTTCCAACATCCAATCATGTGCAAGCAAAATTTTTTTTTTTTTTTTAATTTTCCTTGCTCTTGATTGGGTATTCTTTGCAAAGTGAAGCATTACCTCGTTTACTAAGCTCTGGAGCAACCTCACTGTGCAAATTGCACAGTCTTTTGCCTTTAGTAAATCAACCCCAAAGTGCAGTTGCTCCAGAGCTTAGTAAACGAGGTAATGCTTCACTTTGCAAAGAATACCCAATCAAGAGCATGGAAAATAAAAAAAAAAAAAACATGTTTGCTTGCACATGATTGGATGTTGGAAGTCAGCAGAGCTTCTGTTCATTTTCTAAGCTCTGGAACAACTGCTCTTGCAGAGTGCAGCTGCACTTTGCAAAGTGCACAGACTATTTGCCTTTAGTAAATCCACCCCTTTGTATCCCATGATGTACTCCAAGAAAAAGATTTTACAGGTACACCAAAAATTCTGTTATTTCAATGGAAGCTTTGAGAATGTAGTATGGAAATGATTTTTTGAAACTAGAGGTAACGTGGTCAGGTTACGCTTACCAGCCAGTTAGGAACCAGCTCTCATTTTTTATGTACAGGTGAAATAGAAAAGATAGCTATCTGGTTACTGTGGGCCCTTTTTGTTTGTTGTTGTTGCCCATAGCAAGCAGATTTTATGTTTTGTTCCCCCTATGGCTGCACTGATGGTAAATAGGAAAATGTGATTATTTACAGTAGGCAGCATGTTCTTTTGCAGGACAATTACATAAATTCAACTTGACTACACAAGTAGTAACATTCTACCTTACTGTGGCTACCAAAGGCCTGCTTCTAATAGATCTGACATCTAATCTTGTTCCCTCACATTATAACAGAGGACAGCTGCTGCCACTGGATGTACTATGGGGATGCCACAAAAACCAGATGTTCCTGGGCACAGGAGCTTCTTCAAGAATTCAAATGCAATGTGGACATGCTGAAACAAGCAGTGAAAGATCACAGCTCCGGTTCACCTACCAAAACCATGCCCAACGTGTCCCAGCAATATGGAGGTAAGTTATTATTAAATAGAACAGATTATAATAGAATAACATGTACTTTTCCAAATGTGTCACTTTTTTGACCTTTCATTCATCTGACTGTCCTCCATTCATAAATCATTTTTCATTCATAGAAGTTATAATTCAACTTCTATGAATGGAGGGGGGATGAAAAGGGTGGGCAGAGTTGGGCACACTTGATGATTACCTGTCATAGCTCCCTCAGCTCTATTAACTCCCACCACACTGGAAGATTGCGGTGGCAGGGGTAGGGTGGGATTTTAACCATACCAAAAAGCCACAGCACAAGGGACACATCACACTGATCACACTGATAGTAACATCCCTTGCACTGATTGTTTTTAAATAAACATAAGCTGGCCACACATGGTTCAGCAGTGACTGGCTGAATTTCAATCCATGTATGGGCAGGCTGATTGTACCCAATCGATCCATTGATCGACTTGGGTACAACTAACCTGTCGGATCTTTGATATGCGCTTACTGCCAGCAGCTATAGCCACTAGCCATAACCATTGTATTCTACCAGCTGTGAAGGCTCTCTGTGCCCTCTGTCAGCAGAACACAATAGCCCTTTGGGAAGCATTCCTTCATTAACACTTACTGTGTTCAGGGCTGCTGTTAGAAACCACGGGGCCCCATACAGCCAACCTGACAGCCCCCCCCAAAAAAAACAGTTTACTATACTTCATTTATGAATGAACCCAGTGAGTGATTGGTACTGATCACTCATTGTGTTCATTCAGGAAAGGAAGGTGCTGGTAAATGTGACATATTTACTGGACCCTTCCCCCACTCTCCATCCTGAAAGTTCCTAATGCGTGCTTGCATCTGCTGGTACGAAGGCGAGGAGGGAAACCCACAGCACTGCGGGGGTGGGGGCACACAGGGTGGCCTGGTAGGAAACAGATGGTGCACAGGTAGGGTGATGGGTGCAGTGGGGGGTGGGGGGCAATTACTTGAACCGATCACCTGTGTGACCCTCTATGCAGCAGCTAAAAGCAATCAGGATGGAGGAGAGAGGAAGCCAGCTTTCAGCTACTGTAGAGCGAGCCAAAACAGGGATCGGTTCCAGTAATTCTCCCCCCGCTGTACCGATCACCCCTCCCTACCCACATCATATTCACCCAGCTGCCTGGTCCCTCCTGCTGGCCTGGTCCCATACAGGAGGACTAGTGGTACCACCTTACCCATGGCCCTGACTGTGTTGATAGGCAAATTGTGCAATGTTTCTTTCTTTCCATCTGCGGTGGAAGGAAAGAAAACCAATTCATCTATGGGCTGTTTTTGGCTTTAAATATTGTTCCCCCCCTTCCCACGCTAATATCTAATGATCATTTTTTTCTAAAGTATATGATAAAATGCATTAGTCCTTAATCCAGAGTCATGTGGTCTTTCTCCCCACTGTGTCTGGTTGTGGTGAATGCTGTACTGAAACAGCTCTTCTTGCCAGTCTCCAGTCGGTGTTGTTAGCAGTCCAATATAGCAGAATACTTCATCAAGTTCAGTTATTCTTCGATTATTGGGTGAATGTAATTATCACTTTTATTTGTAGGTTCAGATTCCAGCATTAAGGTCTCTTCACCCACAGCATCTCTGGAGCTGCCTAAATCAAAACTGATGTCCAGTTCCTTTGTGGTTAGGTTGGCTGATTTTAATATTTACCAGGTAAGCTACAAAAGTAATACGCCTGAGTCCAAGGTAAAATTCGAGTCAGACAGTAAAAATGCACAGTTGAAATACATTTGTCAGGTGCCAATGCATGGGAATAGCTGCATATAGCTGAATCTGAAAGATCTGGATGTTTGTCGTTAGAGCTGAACTCCCTGACCAAGTGGGAGTAAAACAGAAGCAAGAACAGCCTGAGCGCACACACCAACACATGCATTCATTACATGATTGCACCTTTCATCCCATTCATTTAATATCTGCAGATGGTCTTTTCATCTCATACACAGCAGCAGAGCGTTGTATTCCTTCCATTTATTAAGTAACTGAATAGATTGCAGTGCATCTTTCAAGCCATGCTGTCCTCTTCTTCAGATGCTATTCCCTAAAGCAGAGGCCAACCTGCCTCCAAAGCTTGCATGACAATCTTTTTATTTAGACAATAAATGTTATCATCCTAAACTCAAACTTCTACATCTCATACACAGAACAGATGTAGATAAATTAGGTCCAAAGCAAGGTAAACCTCCAGGAAATAGTACTTTTACAGCAGATATTTTTTTCATTCTATCTTTCCATCTCTCTTTCCTTCTCTGTTTTTCATGCCATTTAACTTTGCTCACTGTCATGCGCTCTGTCCTGCTCTCAACACTTTCCCTCTGCTCCTCTTGTGTGCTTTCTCCTTCCTATAGGCTGGCCATAGATGGATTGGAATTCTGCTAGTTTCAGCAAGGACTGGCCACTGCTGCTCATCAGAAGTCAGTCTACTGATAAACTTCTGTTGGACAGACCTTGGAAAAAATCTGCTCAATTAGCAGCTCCAGCCAATAACTTCAGTGCTAATCTGTGTATTCTGACAATAGAATACAATAGCGCAGTGGGGAGGATTCTTCATCACACACAATCAAGCTGAACAGCTGAGTGAAAGAAACTGAGCCATGTGGAGCCAGCCTTACACTATCCCTCCTTTTCTGATGCGTTTCTGCTTCCCTTGTGTGCTCTCTTCTCCCCTTTGCACTCTCTGCTACCCTAACTTTCTCTCTGCTCCCCTTGTGCTGTCCCTCCTTCCTTTAACCACTTGCCATCCCGCCGCTGTATATAGACGACCGGACGGTGGCAGTCCAGGGGCGGGTTGCTGTTTCATAAACAGTGCCCGCCATTTTGGACTGTGCGTGCTCCCTGGGAGCACGCAGCACCGTGATCCGGTGCCACTGTGTCCTCTGGACACAATGGAACACCGATCGTCGTATGGGACCTCTGTGCGAGGTCCCGATCATGTGATCACTGATTGGCCAATCAGTGATTAAATGCAGAGTAGTAAGCAAGATGTCACTTCCTGACATCATTGCTTACTACGTGTGAAATCTGTGAATGATCACAGAGGTCACATGGTACAAGGCTATTCACAACAGACTTGTACCATGTGACAAGCTGTAACCAATCACAGCTCACACAATATTTCTCAATGCCAGCAAGAATGCACCCAGTGAGAAGGAGAATTGATTGCTTTTACAGCCTTTATGGGTGTAAAAGCAATCCGTATAAAAAAATATATATATATATACATCACCCCCCCCCCCCCCCCCAAGTAGTACAGTGTCCTCATGGTGACACTGTACTGCTAGGGTGACAGTATGTGTAAAAAAAAACAGAAAACATAACATAAATAATATATAAAAAAAAAAAAATGTAAATATTTTTTTTAAAAATTTATAATTTTCCTATTTCTTTGTGCTTTCTCTGTTCCCCTTGTGAACTCTCTCTGCTTCCTCCTCCTCTTGTGTGCGCTCTCCTTCTCTTCCCCTCCTGCTTTCTCTCTCTCATTCTCTTCCCCTCCTGCTTTCTCTCTCTCATTCTCCTCCCCTCCTGCTCTCTCTCTCTTTCTCCAGACCCTGTGTTTTTTCTGCCCTCTCCCCTTTTGAGTGTGCCCTCTCCCCTTTTGAGTGTGCCCTCTCCCCTTTTGAGTGTGCCCTCTCCCCTTTTGAGTGTGCCCTCTCCCCTTTTGAGTGTGCCCTCTCCCCTTTTGAGTGTGCCCTCTCCCTTTTGAGTGTGCCCTCTCTCCTTTTGAGTGTGCCCTCTCTCCTTTTGAGTGTGCCCTCTCTCCTTTTGAGTGTGCCCTCTCTCCTTTTGAGTGTGCCCTCTCTGCCCTCTCTCTCCTTTTGAGTGTGCCCTCTCTCCTTTTGAGTGTGCCCTCTCTCCTTTTGAGTGTGCCCTCTCCCCTTTTGAGTGCTGCCTCTCTCCTCCCCCCCATGAGTGTGCCTCTCTCTCCCCTTCCCCCCCATTGAGTGTGCCTCTCTCCCTTTTGATGTGCTCTCTCTCCCTCCCTACCCCATGTGATCGCTCTCTCTCCTCCCTCCCCATGTGATCGCTCTCTCTCTCCTCCTCCCCATGTGATCGCTCTCTCTCCTCCCTCCCCATGTGATCGCTCTCTCTCCTCCCTCCCCATGTGATCGCTCTCTCTCCCTCCCTCCCCATGTGATCGCTCTCTCTCCTCCCTCCCCATGTGATCGCTCTCTCTCCTCCCTCCCCATGTGATCGCTCTCTCTCCTCCCTCCCCATGTGATCGCTCTCTCCCTCCTCCCTCCCCTCCCTCCACGTGCGCACTGATCGCTCTCACGTCCACTCTCCCTCCTCACGTGCGCACTCTCTCCCCCCTCCCTCTCCTCACCCCCCCTCCCTCCTGCGCACTCTCTCCTCCCTCCTCACGTGCGCACTCTCTCCTCCCTCCTCACGTGCGCACTCTCTCACTCCCCTCACTTGCGCGCGCTCTCTCTCTCCCCCCTCCCCCCCCTCACGTGCGCTCTCTCCCCCTCCCTCCTCACGTGCACTCTCTCCCCCTCCCTCCTCACGTGCGCTCTCTCCCCCCTCCCTCCTCACGTGCGCTCTCTCCCCCCTCCCTCCTCACGTGCGCTCTTTCTCTCCCCTCCCTCCTCACGTGCGCTCTTTCTCTCCCCTTCCTCTCTCACGTGCGCTCTTTCTCTCCCCTCCCTCGTGCTCACCCTGCTCTCCTTTCTCTCCCAATCCTCCCTCCTCACCTCGTGCGCTCTTTCTCTCCCCGCTCCTCAATCCTCGTGCGCTCTCCCTCTCTCCTCAATCCTCGTGCACGCTCTCCCTCTCTCTCCTCAATCCTCGTGCACGCTCTCCCTCTCTCCTCAATCCTCGTGCACGCTCTCCCTCTCTCCTCAATCCTCGTGCACGCTCTCCCTCTCTCCTCAATCCTCGTGCACGCTCTCCCTCTCTCCTCAATCCTCGTGCACGCTCTCCCTCTCTCCTCCCTCCTCACGTATGCTCTCTCCTCTCTCCAAGCTCCCCCTCTCCTCACGTCCTGCTCTCTCTCTCTCCCCCCCCTCAAGTCTCTCTCTCTCCTCAAGTCCTTACGCTCTCTCTCTCCCCCCTCAAGTACGCTCTCTCTCTCCCCCCTCACGTACGCTCGCTCCCCACCCCCTCGCGTACGCTCTCTCTCCCCCCCTCGCGTACGCTCTCTCCCCCCCTCGCGTACGCTCTCTCCCCCTCCATCCATGAATGCTCCCCCCGCTTTCTCTCTCCTCCCTTCTCTTGTGCTCTCTTTCCCCACACCCTGCCCCTTCTCTTTTCCCCCTCCTCCCTCATGCTATCTGTTTTCCCTCCTCGTGTGCTCTCTCCTCTCGCATTCTCTCTCTCCACTCATGATCTCTTCTGCCCCCACGTTCTCTCTCTCTCTCTCTCCTCTCCTTCCCCTTCATCCCCCCTCCTCTCTCTCTCATCCTTCCCCTTCTCTCTCTCTCTCTCCCTTCCCCTTCATTCTTTCTCTCTCTCTCCTCCCTCTCCTCTCTCCTCTCTCTCTCTCTCTCTCCCTCTCTCTCTCTCTCTCTCTCTCTCCTCTTCCCCTTCATGCTCTCTCTCCTCTTCCCATCCCCTTGCACTCTGTCTGCTTGCCTCATTCTCTGCTAACTTCCTGTCATCACTCTCTTTTTCCTTAATTCTTGCTCCTTCAGTGTCTCTGTCTCCATTTCTCCTCATCACCTCCTCCATTCATCATCCCTCTCCGTTTCCTCTCATTTACTTTTTCAATATATACTACAGATTTCCTGTAGGGAAGATGTAATACTGTGCAGGCTCAGGCTTCTGTGATGACAATGTAATAAATAATTGTCTTTCAGGTATCCACAGCAGATCAATGTCGGTCGTCCCCTAAAACTATGATTTCCTGCAATAAGAAGAGCTTGTATCTTCCTCAGGAAATGTCTGCGATTCATATTGAATTTACTGAATATTATTTCCCAGATGGAAAGAATTTCCCCAGTAAGGCTTGTTATATATCTTTTTTCCTCCAATATTTTTACTCTGAAAGGCAATTTGTAGATAATGGAGTCACGGATTTATAGTGAAGCTATATGTGTGCTTTTCCTAAACTGTGTGTCTTTTATGTAATCTAGACCTCCTGAAAAATAACATATCTAAACCCTAAAACAGAAGATGAATACATTGCAACTTACTGGCTGTGTTGATTTTCTTTTTTAAACATTTTTTTCCTAATTTAACCTGGTGATCCCTCAGTAACTATTGCCTTCTTCGGGATCATCGGTAGATATAGGATTCTCTATATGGAGGTTTTCTAACTATTACTTTATTTTTTTCTATGGGTTGAACTAGATGGACTTGTGTTTTTTCAACCCTAGGATTTTCTGTCTTGGGGTGACACTTTGTTGTATTTATGCAAAAACAGCATTTTCACCCTAGGCTACAAACACCTCCCCCTCTCCCCATTACATAGGGAGGGGGTGTTCCATAATTTAAAGAAGATCACTTGGAAAGCTGATAACATTCTTTGAAACTTCAGTCTAGACCACAGGAAGTGACAAGGAAGCTACAGTTTTGACAGGATAAATAGGTATATTTCTGTACTTGGCCTAAAAAAACTGCAATATATTACATATATGTTGTTGGGTTTAGATATTTTAATCCTAAAATTAATATAGTTGTAATTACACAAACCTTTCTCAATGAACATCATGGACCATGGTCTATCCCAGGGTTTCTCATCCAGGGTTCCTTGGAACCCTATGGTTCCTTCCAGATGTTGCTAGGGGTTCCTTGAGCAATTGAGCAGTTCTGCCACTTTAAAAGAAAGACAGACAGTACCAGAAGGTTTACTAATATGGTTTCCCACCAGAGTGCTCCTTCCCCTATCTGGCCCAGGGGGTGTAGGTTAACTCACATGTCCCTCCCCTCTGCTGCTATAGATTGGGTGGCTGCTACCAGGCTTTCTAGCTGGACCACTCCTCCTCTGCTGCTCAGGTGGCCAGTGAAGGTGCAAGCTTTCTTCCTGGCCATCTTCTCTGTAGGTGAGCCCCTCTCCTATCTGGGACCCCTCCCTGGCTCCTGCATTTCAGCCTACTTCAACATCTTTCACCAGAACTCACCTGCTGCTGAGCAGGCTCAGCTACTCTTAAAGTTTGTACTGGCTCCTTGCCAAGCCTCCTGTTGGGGATTGGCCAGAATCCCCTAAGAGTACAAACCAGCCACTACACAGTTCCACCCACTGCATCTAGACCTTGCTCCAAAGTTCTAGAGCAGGGGGAAATTCCAGAGGGGCTGGACTGCAGAGCCTCTCAGCTCTGATCCAAATTTAACCTCCCTCTGACTGTTGCACTTGGGCTGCTGTTCAGCCCTTGTCTAAAAATTGAAGCTAGAGCTCCCCCTAGCTAACTAGGAGGGTGTTTCAGTTATAATGGTTAATAATTGCACACACATTGCAGGTTACAACATAGGGACTTCTCCATTTTCAGTTTTAATGCACTAAAGTTTTTACCAGCACTGTAACCTCATTTAACTTGTGCTTGATAATCTCTATTTTCCATAGTGAATCCAATTTACAGTAACATGCCTCATAGCATAACAGCTGTCAAGTTTCATATTTCAAGCAACAGCTGCTGTGGTAGAAATTACCTGTATTGTTACTGGTAACTGGTAGTTGAACAGGGGAAATAAGGGGGCAGAAGAATAGGCAGGCACCTTGTTCCATTGTTATGTGACCGAGGACATTTCCAGCATCCCTAAATGCATGCTTGCCACATGATCATCCCAATGGGGACAGCAAGACAAAAGCAAAATATTAAAATTTACATTCGTGAACTTGCTTGCCCTGCCTCGATAAATGTAGGGCACTAAACTCACACTAAAACTGTACCTGTAAAAAAGAGGATGGGCAGCACAGTGGCTAAATGGTTAGCACTTTCTCCTGGCAGTACTAGGGTCGTTGCTTCGAATCCCAACCACGGCACCACCTGCTGGAGTTTGCATGTTTTCCCTGTGCCTGCGTGGGTTTCCACCCGGTATTCTGGTTTCCTCCCACACTCCAGAGACATGCTGGTAGGTTAATTTGATCCTGTCTAAAATTGGCCCTAGTATGTGTATGTATGAATGTGAGTTAGAGTGTACGCCCCTTGAGGGTTGGAGATTGATGCGAATGTACAATATATATGTAAAGTGCTACGTAAATTGATGGCACTATATACGTAAGTACCTGAAATAAATTAAAATAAAGTACAGGATACTTGCCTCCTAAAAGGCACTTCTACTTCTGAACACAGTTCCACTGAAGAGGAATTGTCGCAAAACACACTTTTGAGTGTGTCAATCTCCTGGTCCCCTACAACGATCAGTATTATCTCCCATCAACCAGTACATCATTATTGTACACTGTAGTGATGTAGGGTCAGTGGTAAGAACCACTGATCATTGCAGGGGACCAAGAGATCGATTCTTCCAGATGTGTTGGTTTCTGCAGGCAAATTTCACTTCAAAGAGCAGCAGTACAAGTGCTAGAAGAGGTAAATATCCACTATTTTCTTTTTGGGTACATTTTTTGTTGGGTGTTTCAGTTCACTGACAGGGTTGCTTTAAAAATGTCCTATGATAACTGTGTGATTCTTTATCTACAAATTTAGCTAATATACAAGTATATAGTGATCCACAACATATACTGTATACAGTTTGACTTAACTGTTATAATGAAACCACTTATGATGTTTTTGTTCCTAGTTCCAAATTCCAACCTCTATGTACAACTGAATGCACTGCAATTCACTGTGGATGAAAGGAGTATTCTGTGGCTAAACCAGTTTATTCTAGACTTGAGGCAGAGTGTTGACCAGTTCATGGCTATGTACAAACTCAGTGACAGCTCCAATGATGAGCACATCGACATTCGGGTGGACGGTCTGATGCTGAAGGTAATTCTTAGATCTCAGGTTATTGCAGGGAGAACAAACACTGCTGAATAATTCAGTTTGATATTCCAGGCTGTTCCTTTAATCCATGCATGAATGATATTTACTTACTATGTATATTTTATGAGAGCACAGCATGGCAGCTTATAACGATGTTATAAAATCTATTCTTATTTTGCCAATGTGATTACGGGAAATACAGGGGCATTTTCTATCCACGGGCGCTTTTAGATTGTGTCAAACACAAGAGAATTGAATTGCTTAAAGGAGAACTACAAACTGAGTTGTAAACAAAAAAAAAAGCCGCTTTTCAACATCCGTGTTTTTGTTTTGGATGCGTTGGATCATATTGAAAGCTAGATCACTTTTGGCCTACTGTCATCCCATAAACTTGCTTTCTGTGTATGTCCAGGACCATGCTAGCCACTGCAGACTGTGTGCTATGAGCCAAAAGTAAACTTATCCAGTGACGGAAGCAGTGTATTAGCTGGAAACTAAAGGAGAAAAGCTGTCATTTAAAGAAATACCAGGTTCTTCCAATGATGATCTCCTGAAAGTGCTATTTGCTTGGTTGTCTCTGACTTGTCTTCTTATTCACTGACCCTGAACGAGTATGCATAGTTACATAGTCTGTCTGAAAAAAGACAAAAGTCCATCCAGTTCAACAATTAAGAAAAAAAAAAAAGTTATAATCCTACACCCACCAGTTGATCCAGAGGAAGGCAAAAAAAAAAAAAAACCCCAGCAAAGCACAATCCAATTTGCTCCTGCAGGGGGAAAAACTCCTTCCTGGTCCCCCGAGAGGCAATCGGATATTCCCTGGATCAACTTCACCTATAAATGTTATATCCAGTTATATTCTGTGTATCTAAGAAATAATCCAGGACTTTTTTAAAGCAATTCACTGAGCTGGCCAGAACCAACTCTTGAGGGAGTCTATTCCACATTGTCACAGCTCTCACTGTGAAGAAACCTTTTGGTGTTTGGAGATTAAATTTCTTTTCATCCAGACGTAAAGAGTGCCCCCTTGTCCTCTGTGATGACCTCAGGGTGAATAACTCTACCCTGAGTTCACTTTATGAACCACTGATGTATTTATACATGTTGATCATATCCCCCCTTAATCTCCTCTTCTCAAGAAAGAATAAATTCAGTTCCTCTAATCTTTCCTCATAGCTGAGCTCCTCCATGCCTCTTATCAGTTTGGTTGCCCTTCACTGTACTTTCTCCAGTTCCCCAATGTTCTTTTTGTGAATTAGTGCCCAAAACTGAACTGCATATTCCAGATGAGGTATTACTAATGATTTGTATCGGGGTAAAATGATATCTCTCTCTCTGGAGTCTATACCTCATTTAATACAAGAGAGGCTTTTGCTCACTTTAGAAACCGCAGCTTGGCATTGCATGCCATTATTAAGCTTGTGATCTACCAGAACTCCCAGATCCTTCTCCACCATTGATTCCCCCAGTTGTACCCCCCTAGTATGTATGATGCATGCATATTCTTAGCCCCCAAGTGCATAATCTTACATTTATCAACATTAAACCTCATTTGCCACATAGTTGCCCAATTACACAGTGCATTGAGGTCGGCTTGTAAGTTGGAGACATCCTGTAAGGACGTTATTCCACTGCACAGCTTGGTGTCATCTGCAAAGACTAAAATGGGATTTCTAATCTCAGACCCTATATTGTTTATAAATATATTAAAAAGTAAGGGTCCCAACACTGAACCTTGGGGTACACCACTGACAACCCTAGACCATTCAGAGTATGAATCATTAACCACTACTCTGTGAATACCATCTTTTAGCCAGTTTTTCATCCATTTACATATGGATTTTTCCAAGCCCTTACTTTACTTTACCTTACACATTAGCCGTGTGTGGGGAACTGTGTCAAAAGCTTTTGCAAAATCCAAGTATACCACGTCCACCACCACCCCTCTGTCCAAATATACCACGTCCACCGGCTCCTGGTAATTTTATGTGCAAAGACGAGCTCTGCTTAGCAGAGCTTTTCTTTAAAGCTGAACTCCATGCAGATATGAATTTAGCTACAAATGTACTGTATGCAGTTCTGTATTCACTAATACATTCTTAAAGAAGAATTCTAGCCTAAACCTAACCAGTACTAAAAATGTTCCCTCTCCCTCCTAACACCTATGTTTATTAACCTGTGTAAAAAAAGATGTAGCACTTACCCCTGCAGGAGACGCTGGTGATGATGGGTCCTTTGTTCTTCCTTGAATCTTAAAACCGTGCGGTCCTCACTGACACACTTGATTTAGAGGTAGAGGGCCATTTAGGCCTTGCTCACACCATGTGCAGAGACTTCAGTTTTTCTGTATGTGTTCTGCAAGGGCACAAAGAAAACAGTTGTTCTCTATGTGCCCTCTTCACACCACAATATTAGTATCACGTGCGGATTTTTTCTGCGCAGGAATCGGCAACATGACATCAACATTGTTATGTGAGGGCACATAAAGAACCATTGTTTTCTTTGTGCTCTTACAGAGAATATATGTTGCATATTTCTGTGCAGAAAAAAAAACTGAAGTGACTGCAGTGTTGCAGCATGCATGAAAACTGATGTAAACTTGTGTCTCTCCAAGTGAAATCTGCGTGGTTTTTCTATTAGATTTTATGCACATATGGTGTGAACGAGGCCTTACACCCTGATAACTTAAGTGTTAATAAGTCACCACATTATATGATAATGCGCAGGAATTAATCCACGCACTACCAGATGGTAGGTTAAGTAAATGTATTATGTCAAACCAGGGAAACCGTGGAAGACTTGGCATAAATCAATAGAACGCATTAAGGTTGTAGGACCAAGTAAAGTGGACCTAGGCCTGTATATCTGGACAAACTCACTGAACTGTATCAGATCAAGTTTTAACTAAAATAACTAATAATGATTGAGATCAGATCCAGTTAATGCAAAAGTAATGTTCTTGAGTGCACTTTAATCTGATACCCCAGATGCACGTATCTGTAAGTGCTCCTATGATTGGCTGCACCCGGTTACCAATGTATATACTGTACTTGCCTATTTTCAGTCTGCTCCGGCCTGGTAATATGTTCTGGCTCCCCTGGGTCAGTCAGCAGCTGCTGCAGGGGAGAGGACAGTGCGCAAACAACATCTGGGACATAGGAACCTATGGATGACATCGCCACTTCTGAAGTTTGCACCCATTGTCGAGCGCTCTCTCCTTTACCCTGCAGTTACCTCTGATTGATACATGAGATCACATGACCAGACTGAAGCAGGCTGAAAATAGGTAAGTATATCTTTTTTGCACAGGTTAACCAGGATTGATGTTAGGAGGGGGGAGGGCACATTTTTAACCACTTGACTACGGAAGGTTTTACCCCCTTCATGACCAGAGCAGTTTTCGCTACTTTAACTGGCAAATGCTCGGTCATGCAATACTGTAGGCAAATGAAGCTTTCTTTGGGCAGTATTTAATTACCACTGTTTTTTTTTTATTTCTTTTTATATAAAAGACTAAAAAAAAAACAATTTTGAAAAAAAATATTTTTTACTTTCTGGTATTGAACCTATCCAATAAAATCAAATTTCTTCATAAATGTATGTCAAAATGTATTCTGCTGTGTCTGGCAAAAACCAAACTGTTTTTGGGGACACTAGTATAATTCTGATTGTGATCAAAATACTGATCCGTTCAGGCACTATACTAGTAATGCCAATGATCAGCGACTTATTGTGTGACTGCGATAGTGTGGAGGGTAATCTGGCACTGACACTGGCTGAGAGGGGCACTAACTGGTCCGACGCTATCTGAGGTTTGCTAGTGACACTAATGCAGTGATCAGTAAATAAATACTGTACACTGTAGTGATACTCTGGTGATAGGTAAATCAAAAGGTTTACAGGAGGGCAATCAAAGGATTATATGTGCCTAACAAGGTGTATGCAAATGTAAAAGTGCTGCGTCTATGCTCCTGTTTTTTTTTTTTTTTTTTTTTTTTTTTTTCTCCCTGAATGAATAGGGCTCAGGGAGAGAAGAATTGCCCAAAACTTGTATCTGTGCCTTTGTAAACAAGAGACAGAGCTGTGCTGTGATCGGCTACAGCAAATCAATAGGTTAATGGCCAGAATCATTGATCGGGACCTGCTGACATACTTGTGTTGTAGTCAGTAACAGCACAAGGGGGGTGCACCCTGAACCGTAAGACAGGCCATGAAGTACAGGTCCAGCCTGCCTTTGACATACGTCTGCAGTAACTCTACTTTGGGTGGGCGGCAAGTGGTAAAGACTAGTTAGGTTTATCATGAAATTCTACTTTAAATGGGTGTTATTTAACTCTAAAGAGTGGACATATCTGAATTTGGCTTGACAAATAAACAAAACAAAAGTATTAGACACTATAGTGTAAAACAGGAGCAAAAACATAGGTGATTCTATTGAAAGATTGACTTATTATGTCTTTTTTTTTAAATTTATTTACACAGGTTATCTTACCATCACAGAAGAAGTTGGACTGTCACCATGACCAGCCAACTGCTATCAGCATCCAGACTTCTGAAATGATTGCCAGCAACATGAGGCAGTCCCCGAACTGTCGACGGTCAGACCTTGAAGCCATATTCCAGGACTTTAAAGACTACCCTTTCTTCTCCAAATCATTCACCTCCTTCCCTCGCTCAGAGGACAGCTATGACCTCCTGCACCCCATATTTCAGAGGCATGCATTTGAACAGGACACAAAAATGCATGATGTCTACAAAGGTTTTGTTGCACCAAAGCTGGACACCAATGCGCTGAAAACATCCTCCGCTAAAGACATCTGGGCCATACATTTCACACAATTCTGGGTCGACTATGAAGGGATTAAAAGTGGAAAAGGACGACCTGTAAATTTTGTAGACTCCTTCCCCTTCTCCATCTGGGTTTGCCAGCCCACACGGTTTGCTCAGTCTCAGAAACAGACTGTTTCCAACGGTGATAATTTAGTAAACCTTTCCAAAAGCGAATCAACAGACTTTGCTGGTCGTCTGCAACGTAAAAAACTTTTAAAACAATACTATAGCACAGATGTGGATGGCCGGAGTCTGCCACTGCAGAAGTCCCAGTCCTTAGACAGTAGCTTATCAGTCCCACCACCTGCAGATCCACCCCAAGCAGATATTCAGGTCCTCGCTTATATTCAAAAACATGTGAGTGCTCAAATGAATCACTACCAGTATATTTTCTTATTGCTGCTGCAGGAATCACTAAAGCAGGTCATGGACAATTTGCGGAAAGATGTTGAGGCCGTGACTGGAAAAACCGGCTGAGGACACCAAACTGTCCATCGGTCTGCTGCTAAAAAATGCAGAGGTTTCTTTATTATTGCACCCTTTACCAGAGGAAAATCCATCCAACTGCCCTGTCTCCCAAGAAGGGAGCCCTATTGTCGGAAACAAACGGACTTCTCCAGCAGAGAGTACACAAGAAGACAGCATATGTAACTCCACTGTTGACTTAATCATTGATTCTGCCAGTGGTGACTCTGGGGCAATTCTAGAACCTAAAAAGATTGACTTGCCAGATGTTGGCCTATCAAAATCACCCAGCAACGCTGAACCAAGGATGGAAAGTTTGGAAGGATCTGTTGAAGGGTCCTCTTTGAAGGTAGAGGATGGAGTCTTGGGACAGCTGATTAATGTCAATGGTCTTAAAGAAGATGCCCATTTAGATGACGCCCACAATAGCGATGATAACATTTCCTGTTCAGTCAGCCACTTTGAAGAAAACCTTATTAACCTTCAAGCCCCTGATACAGAGCCTGTTTTAGATCCACTTCTCAGTATACAGTTCCCTGAGGCTCAGAAGAAACAAACTGACACAAGGTAATAATTTTATTTTCTTGTTCAATAAACGCTTAACAAACATTATTGTTATCAAGACTATTAAAAGTCCAGTAAACCCAAAATGCAAACTAATAACCACTTTCAGTAAGTTCCTAATAATAACATTCAAAAAAGTGTAGCTGTAGTCAAGCAGGTAAGTACATAATTGAAATGCTCACAGTGGCAATAAAAGTATGTGAACTCCTTAGCATTAACTAGTTTTCTGCAGGAATTTGCCATAAAATGTGATCTGATCCTCATCTAAGGGAGAATGTCAGCAGCACACCAATATGGGTCCAAAAGTTTTAACAATCAATCTTTGTCACATGCCTGTTGAAGGGGTTCTGTGAGACTCTGAAACATTGCCTTGCTGTAACTATGTGATCGTTTATTAAAACTTTTGGACCCATATTGGTGATCCTCGGTGTGCTGGTGACATTCTCCCTTGCTCATTCTGTTTCGGTTCCAGCCAATGGTTGCTGCAGCACCCACTTATACACACAGCCATTTTTTAATGCAGGAACGTGTGCATTTGGATTGTGCACTTGCATTCTGATACTCATCTAAGTCACAATAGACAAACACAATGTGCTAAAGCTGATAACACACAAACTATTTTAATTTATCATGTCTTTATTGAACACATCCATTAAACATTCACAGTTCTGTAGGAAAAAGTAAGTGAACCCATTAGTGTTACTAGCAATGACAATTTTAACCACTTGCCCTCCTAAAGGTTTTACCCCCCTTAATGACCAGGCCTCTTTTTGCTACTCGGCGCTGCACTAATTCAGCTGATAATTGCGCGGTCATGCAATGCTGCACCCAAACGAAATTTACGTCCTTTTTTTCACACAAATAGAGCTTTCTTTCGGTGGTATTTATCACCTGTGCGCTTTTTTATTTTTCACACTGTAAACAAAAAAAAGACCAAAAATTTTGAAGAAAACGATATTTTTTTACTTTCAGCTATAAAAAATATATAGTAAACTCAAAGTTGGTTATAAATTTAGGCCAAAATGTATTCTGCTACATGTTTTTGGTAAAAAAAAATCCCAATAAGTGTATATTGATTGCTTTGTGTGAAAGTTATAGCGTCTACAAACTATGGTATAGATACTGCAATTTACGCCTTTTTATTGCTATAAAGCGCTGTGCTAGTTTAACGGACAATTGCGCGGTCATGCAATACGGTACATAAATGAAATTTATGTCCTTTTTTTTCACACAAATAGAGCTTTCTTTCGGTGGTATTTGATTGCCTGTGCGTTTTTTTATTTTTTGCGCTATAAAAAAAAAAAAGGCTGACAATTTTGAGAAAAAAAACAATATTTTGGACTTTTTGCTATAAAACATGTCCAGTAAAAAAAATTTAAAAATCAAATTTCGTCATAAATTTTGGCCAAAATACATTCTGCGACATGTCTTTGCTAAAAAAAAAAAAAAACCCAATACGTGTAAATTAATTGGTTTATGTGAAAGTTATAGCGTTTACAAATGGCGGGAAAGATACTCGGATTTTTCATTTTTTTTATACTAATAATGGCGGCGATCAGTGACTTATCGCGGCGATCAGCGACTTATGGCAGGACTGCGGCAGACATTCTGACACTTGGGAGGAACTGACTTGGGGTCACTGACATCCCCAGTGACACCAATACAGTGATCAGTGCAAAATAAAAAAACACTGACACTGTACTAATGGCACTGGGGAGGAAGGGGTTAACTTTATTTACTGAAAGGGTTAACTGTGTGAGGGTAGTGCTTTAATAGGGGGCGGGGGTGTGTACTGCACGGGGGACACGCTGATCAGGAGAGAGAAACTCTTCTCTCCGGCTCAGCATGTCAGGAGCTCACAGGGAACTGACAGAAAGCAGAGCTACTGCAGCCCTGCTCTCTGTCAGTGATTGCCGCTAATCGGCGGGACATAGCCGGTAACGAATGGCTGTGACCCGGCGACTGACATCCGTGGGGGCGTGGCCTCGCGCGTGCCCCCTACCTGTTTTGCAAACACACATTTTAAAATGTGGTTTTGCCCAGCCGTGCCACCCTGCCGCCGTATTTCTACAGTGACTGGGTGGCATGTGGTTAAAGTGGCAGTAAACTGTCATTTATTTTTGCCTACAAGTAAGCTTAAAATAAAGCTTACCTCTAGGTATAATGAATATCTCTTAAACGTGCACCATTTAGGAGAGATTCTAGGGAGCAGCAGTCGGTGACATTACTGGCGTATGCGCTCTGAAGGAACAGCGTATCTGTGCCGTTCCTTCAGAGTTGTGTGCCACAGCTGAGACTCCCGCCTGTGTGCTCCACTGTCTTTGTCTATTGACACAGATAGTTACACTTGGCCTCTCACCCCCTGCTCCCTCATCATAGGATTTGATTTACAGAAGGGGAAGCCAATGGCTCCCACTGCTAATAATTTCTCCAGTGAGGAGGGAGAGAAACGGGAGAGCCACTGCTCTCATGCACATCGCTGGATCAAGATTGGGCTCAGGTAAGTATAAGGTGGGCTGGGGGTTGGGATCCTCTTTAACAGAAGGTTTTTTTTCCTTAATTCATAGGATACATTAAGGTATAAAAAACAAACTGGTTGTAAACCTCAAACGTGAAATATATTTCTATGGTGTTTACTTGCCTTTCTCCAAAGCATGTCAGAAAAGTATAATTTCTCTCTGCTGTCTAGTTCCTCTGCTGTCAGCATAAGTCACTTCTAACATGTTTTCCTGACACCAAGAAGAAATGATGAGAGGGGAGGGACCTCCACCTGATTGACAGCCTCAACTCTTTTCCTGTGTGCTGTGTGAAGGGGAGTGTGCCCCTTTCCTCCAATCGGCTCTCAGAGCTCTTGAACAGTGTGTAACTGCAGCTTCCCACTCCTGCTTTGTGTGTCTGTGAAAAATCCTTTTCATCTCTGAATTTTAAAAGGGTCTACAGGACAAATGGCTGCAAATAAACAGGTACAACTTATGTAGGAAGATTTCTTTAATCTCTGTGTATCACCTGAGGCCAGTCACTGCCATAGATGGATTGAATCCCATGTTGAAGTCCCTGCTGAATCGGCCGAGATTCGATCCTTCTATGGACAGGTTGGTTGTACTGAAATCAATACATTGATTTGACTTCAGTACAACCAGCCTGTCACTAGCAGTAATCATTGTGTAATCATTGTTCTCTGCTGGCAGAGAAGGCTCCCCGCCGGCACAACACAGTAGCTCAGAGGGAGCCATTCCCCCATCAACATTGACACTGACACTGTTGATGGGGGAATAAAATGATTTTTTTTCTACTGTATACTCTATGGTCTGCAATAAATGAGGATCAGATCACATTTTATGGCAAATTACTGCAGAAAGTCCGCTAATTCCAAGGGGGTCATACATTTATGGAAAAGAAAAACACTGTAAGCAAAGATTTAAAATCCTTAAATTTTATGCACCTTTACCAGCAATTTTTAGGTTGGTGACAGGGTCTCTTTAATGTAAACCTGTTTGCAGTGCATAAAAGATAAAACACAAGGAAATGCAGAGATGTATTGAATGTGTTTGTTTTATTTTATCAAGACACACTCTTTAAACTAAAGGGAGCCTGTTGCTTTATACTGCATAGGTAAAACACAGGTTGAAATTAAATAAATCTGTGTTTTCACCAGGAAAAGCCACTGTACTAACTATCCAATGTTAGAACACAATAGCACAGTGGGAGAGATTGCTTTACTAACAGGAGGGACAGCCCCCCACCAGGACATTCCAGTCAGCACTCTCAGCCATTGGCTGGGAGTGCTGATCAGGACCCGAATGGCAGACTTTTCCCTTTCGGTTATTCCCCTTCGACAGAAGATGGGTGGATCTGCTATCGTACACACACGCTGAATGTCGGCTGGTTCCCATTGAACTGGCCGATGGCACCCGACATTCGGCCTGTGTGTACTAGGCTTAACATACTTTCGGGGTGGGAGGGTAAAATCCTTGCTATAAGCAAGCATTTTACTGAATGAAATCGATTCATTCAGTTTGTTTTGTTGTGATTAGCTGTGATTGGCCACAGCTAATCACATGGTACGATGGGCTGTGATTGGCCCTGTCTGTACCATGTAATCACTGTGACTAATCACAGCTAACAACACAGGTGTAACAATGAATGGCATGATTCAAAGCCATTCATTGTTTGCAATTGCCATGTGATCTGCTGTGATTGGTCACAGAGATCACATGGTACCTGCAGTGAGCAGTGAGCTGGTACATTGATCAGTCATCGGCTGTGTCCAATGGACACAGCCAGTGACAGATCCTGCCCGCTTGGCTTAGCATGAGGCTTTTTCCAGGAGCATGTCATCTGACATCCACCCAGAATGATGAAAGTCCCACTCAGCAGTCAAAATGCATGAAGGAAATCAAAAAATAAAATTGGCTGGATCAACAGGTGAAAAAAATTGAAACCGCCTCAAAAAGGAAAACCAATGCATCCACCACACCTAAGAATTGGTAAGCTGCTATATATATATATATATATATATATATATATATATATATATACTGTATATATATTTATTTTTATATTCTTTTGGGGGGGGATTATTCACATTAAAAGTGAATTTATAATCTTATGTTGTCATTGTATACAAGGATACAAGATCCCATCACCTTACTTAGGAGTTATCTGTCTGTTTAAAAAAAAATATGGTTTGACAGGTATAGATTTTTTTTTTTTTTTTCATTAATTTTTTTTTTTTTACTTCTCCTTCCTGTAACCCACTTTTGTTTTTTCTTTTATTATAATTATGCCTTTTCCAAAGTTACTTGTTTTGATTTTTGAAACCTGGTTTCCATGTATTTTTGTTAAGTGGAACCCCTAAGGATCGCTGTCCGTCCAACCTGCCTACCTTCTCTGTTTCTTACAAGAACATGAAGAGAAGCCCGTCCCAGTTCTCCCTGGACAATATCTCCATAGACAGCAACCTGCTGGAAGACCACCTGGTGGAGAGCGATGGGAGTGACCATATGGAGGCGGGTAGGGAAACGTTTTAAATGTTCACACCTAATCATATAGGTTTTATTCCTTTAAGGAAAATCTCTCACTTTTACAGAGTGAAGATTGCCTTATCTTTTTCAGTTGAGTGGGAATTATTGATACTTTTTGTTGCTCACACAAAATGACTACCTCCTTTTGTATTGTGTTGATCTGTAAACATAAAAAAAAAAAAAAACAACCCAGGCCATCCTGCATCCTCTAACTAATTCCTACCCATCCTTGCGCTCTCTGGTCTGCCCCTTTCATTCGTTGTATGTCAGTTTTTCCAATCATGGAGAGCATCACATGTGAGCATTACTTAGGGTGGTTTGCATGCAAATACAGTCTGGCTAGGAATGCCTGCTCCTCCAGACTGGCATTCACACTTGAAGGCATGTTGATATTTATAGAACTGCTTCCAAGATCTAGCCCACTGCTTGCATCTGAGCTGAGGACTCTTGAGAGGCATACTGAGGCAGGATGCTGTGAATTTCCCAGGAAGCTATGTACCCTGCTGGTTCCTCCACCACCACCTTTGATACGTCACCATTGCAAGAGAAGCACAGAGACCCAGCGATGAAGTCCCTGGATCTAAAAAAAATGGAAAGTTTCTAGGTAAAAATTGAATTGGCGTGTTGATGGAGGGAATTGGGGGGGGGGGGGGGGTGGTTTTAAGCAGGCTAAGGAGAAGTAGGCCAAAGCTCTCTTGGCCCTACTTCTCCTGTAAGTCACAGGAGTGCACTCCTGTGACTCAGAGTCAGCTGACAGCGGGCTATAGCCGGTCCAGACTCTGAAGGGATCCTGACTGCTCCCTTCACAGCCCGACGCTCCAGTGAGTGCTGTAGAGGCAGAGCATAGAGCAGAGTGATGACCAAAAACCAAGCGATCAGCAGTCTTTGATCACTCAGTTCTGGGTCTTGGAGGTGGCTAGGGACAGATGTAGTATCAGATTGATGCTGCACCCACCTAGGTCAGGGGTCTCCAAGCTTTCTAAACAAAGGTCCAATTTACTATCCTTCAGATTTTAGGGGGGCCAGACTGTGGCCCCATCCTTATTGGCAGTGGGAGGAATAGTGCCCCATCCTTGGTGTCACTGGAAGGAATTGTGCCTCATAGGTGTCAGTGGAAGGAATAGTCTCCCATCATTGGTGCCATTAGGTAGAATAGTGCCCCATTGTTGGTGTCAGTGGGAGGAATAGTGCCCCATCATTGGTATCAGTGGGAGGAATAGTGCCCCATCACTGGTGTCATTGGGAGGAATTGTGCCCCATCATTGCTGTCATTGGGAGGAATTTTGCCCCAACATTGGTATCAGTGGGAGGAATAATGCCCCATCTTTGGGGTCATTGGGTGGAATTGTGTCCCATCACTGGTGTCAGTGGGAGGAATTGTGACCCATTGTTGATATCCATGGATGAAATAGAGCCCCAAGGGCCAGATAAAAAGCAAGTAAAGGGCCGTATCCCAGGCCGCAGTTTGGAGACCACTGACCTAGGTGAATATGTCGGTTTTTTCAAAACCCGCTCCTCCTTTTAAACTTCAGCTTTAAAGATAAACCAACCTGAAACTGGCCTCCTACTTCTACCTCTTCTGAGACATTCATTTTGAGACAGGCTCCCCACTGGGAGACCACAATAGCTCTGTGGGCGAGATTCCCCTATCGACACTGACTGTGTTGATCGAGGAATCAGGCAATTTTCTTGCCTGCAACCCATGGTTGCAGGCAAGAAAATTGCATAATCTATGGCTTGCCTAAGAGCTGTGGGACAATGAGTTGTGGAGAAGGAAAGGAGCAGAATTGGCAAAGCTAGTACTGGGATGAGGTGAGTAGGGGGAGGCTAACACAAACCAACATGGCATCAAGCTGGTAAGACCAGAGACAGACGCAGCTATAGACGCACTCTGGTTCATTTTACAGCCCAAGCATCACTAAATAACTTTGCATGGACCGTCTGCAGATCCTGAAAACATAACGCAACACAGTATACTATAAACGTATGGTATTGGTCTTGAATACCAAGGATGCAAGTCGGCAAAAGCAGCCTGCATCCCAACAACCTAGGAGGCTAGGTGGCAGGAGCACAAACATTGCATGCATATAGTGTATGGACAAGATATTTAGGAAGAATTATGCTGCCAGCAAGATCTGAGCCATGTGCATGAGTCCTAACAGTAACTACCTGTGTGTGGGAAGCTGAGCTTGCAGAGTCAAGGCGAAAACTGAAGAAAGAAACAAACTCTACAAGTTCAACCTAGGCTGTGAGGAAAGTCAGTGCTGCGGCGTAAGCTCCTGCAAGCTGTTGCAGTCCATCTAAATGAAAGATAAGCCAACATTCAGAGGACCAAAGAAAAACGTTTCTTCATGAGGTGCAGCTGTGCTGATATTTTTCAGCCAAGGGAGGCCTTAATGATTATGGCTTCCTTTGGCTGAAACACATAGGCTGTGCTGTACCTCATGGAGTTTTTACCCTGTATGGAATAAAGGTTTTTGTACGGTACCTTTTCTGAGCACCGGCTTTTCTCTTGAAATTGCCTCTTTGAATACAGGGTCCCTGTTTCTAAGGCTCGGTTCACACTTGTACGAGTGGAAGACGCTGCGGGACCCACACTTCATCCCTCAGCGGCAACCACCCACACACAAAACGCGGGACTCGTGGGTGGGTCACACATTTAATCCTAACGGCACGCCGCCCACACTGGAAATTTCACCCACACTGGGAGCCGCACTTTTTAAAAAATATATTCTTTAGATTTTTTTTTTAACATATAAAAAAAGTCATTTTTCCATATATTTTTCCATATATTTGTAAATGCATTCCAAAAATGTAGATAAAGACATACAGTGTATTTGAAATGTATTTTTAAAAATATTATTTATATATTTTCTAATAAAAACACATTTCAACATGCAGTATGTATGTGTATTGAAATTTATTGAATATTGCCAAAATTGTAGCATTTCAAATATATGTCAGTATATTTGGGAAGAATATTTTTAAAGTATATTTCAGATATATTTTTCTTCCATGTGGGTCAGGCAGTGTCTCAACTGGTCCCCATCTTCTGTCATCTGACACGTAGGTCCCTTCTTCTGGGGGGCAGCGCTGCCCCCCCTGAAAAATGCTGGCCAAGGCAAACACCTTATGCCCCTGCACACAAAAGTATGAACCTAGGCTTAGATGGTTCAGACTAGTGATGGTGGCATTGCAATAAGAAAACTACACTGAGTCCAGGCGACCAGTTGCACAGTGCTTACAGAGCCAGTTCTGGTGACTGGTTGTCTCTACAGGAAATTGTTTGTCACCTCTGTGAAGGCTGAATTCTACAAATATTTAGTGCATACCAAAGAAAGCTGCATAGAAAAACCTGAATAGTGAGAGCTACATTTCAGGAAGTATTTCTGTGACTTGAACTCAGCTTTAAGGTGGAAGGCAAATCAAAACCTAACTAAGCCTAAACCTACTCCCACCCCAGCCTGTGAGCCTATTTTATCTACACTGGAACAGGATGAGACCTATACTTGCCTATTCTGAAGTCGCTTTAGTCTGGTCACATGATATCCCCAATGCTGGCTTTAGTGTAGAGGACAGGCAGTGACAACGGTTGCAGAGCCTGGGTGAGGTCGTCACCCATAGACTTACTATGGGGCAGCTGTTGTTGGCTCTCCCTTCTCTACCTGGGACTCAACCATGTTACTAAACCGGAGTGACTTCAGAATAAATATCTTTCCTTTTACAGTGTTGATAGAATAGGCTTAGAATGGGGTGTGAGTAGATTTAAGTTAGGTTTTGATTTGCCTTCCACTTTAAGGTACTATCAGAGATGTAGTTTAATAATTGACTGTTGTGTATAAACTATACCTGGCTCTCTCGAACTGGCTGGATGGTCTAGTAGTATGCAATGCGACTCTGCTGATTAGCTAGCTTTGCCCTCTTATGTACGATACACAAATAAAGCCTTGGCTGCCCACTTTTAATAATCAGTATTTTTTATGAGACACCAATGTATTTTTGTAACTGACTTTTCTTTTGAGAATGTTTGTTTTTTTGTTTCACTGTGTCAGGACTGGAAGATTTCTCTTCCTTGAACTATCAGTCCACAGTGGACACAGCCAGCGTGGAACTGCGGAATGAAGAGTACTGTGTTTCTTCACCAGACGTTGTCAGTGCTGCTGATGAAAGCACTCATGACTCTAGGCAAGAGCGGGTAGGTGTCCATGGCTTAAGCCTCTTTTCCAGCTGACCCTAGTATCTCTCTTTCAGTGTCCTTTGCAGCATACTGTGCATAATTACGTTTGTGCCCGCATAACTGTTGTTGCTTCCCTGCAGATGTCCGTTGTAGTATTTAAAATAAGTGGAGTGAATGGCGGAATTGATATTAAGGGAGAGAAGATGTCACCATTTGCCTTCAAGTGAATCAAGTGGTTCCAAAACAGCTTGGGAATGTCAGTGTTTGGCAATACCTCAACAACCGGAATATGAGTAAGATAAATTTCCCATAAATATTTATGTAATATCACCAATGATTTTCCAGCTGATGACGATGTTAAAGGGATCCTGTGGCCAGGCTATAGATAGTCAACATTTACATTTTCTTAACCAGCTGCACTTTAAATGAGCTTTAAAATAAGACCTGGCTACATTAAAGTGTAAACCCTAACAATGAACTTCCCTTATTCTCTCACGTTTATTCTGGTAAATATACCATTAGTAGTTTTTATATCTTTTTAAGTGTTGAAAATACCTTTTAATCCCACCACAAAGCCACTGAGCTGTGCTCACTTCCTCTCTCGCACTGTTATCAGATAGCATTATCCCTAGTTTTCTGTCTGGAATACAGAACGCCTCCACATGGTATGCAGAAGAGGAAAGAGGGAGATGTTCTACAGTCCTAAGACCCTTCCTGACTTATTGTGACAATGCTCCTTCCTCATATAGTACAGTGAGTGGGTTTTGTCACCCTAAGACAGGAATTATGGTACTGGCAGGATCACCAGGTGAAAACAAGCCATAACAATCAATGCCATCAACACATCTAAGGACTAGTAAGCCTCAATATACAACATTTTTATTCTTGGATTTGGATTTGCTTTAACCACTTGCTCTCCCTTCCTCACCAGAACATTTTTTGTGATACAGCGCTGCATTACTTTAACTGATAATTACGCGGTCATACACTATACATAAATTTGTGTATTTTTTTCCCACAAATGGAGCTTTCTTTCAGTGGTATTTAATCACTGCGGTTTTTATTTTTTGTGCTACAAACAAAGCCTGACAATTTTGAAAAAAAAAATATTTTTGACTTTTTTTAGTATTTTTTGGTATGAAACATATGTAATAAAAAAAATTGTATTTCTTTATAAATTTAGGCCAAAATGTATTTTGCTACATATCTTTGCTAACAAAAAAAACTCCAATAAGTGTATAAATTAGTTTACATGAAAGTTATAGCATCTACAAATAGTGGTATATATACTGGAAATTTTATTTATTTTATACTAGTTATGGCGGCGATCAGTGACTTTTAGCGGGACTGCGGCAAGCATTCTGATACTGGATGGGAACTGACTAACTTCCACTGACATCTCCAGTGACGCTAATACAGTGGTAATTTCTAATAAAAAGCACTGACACTGTACTAATGACACTGGGCAGGAAGGGGTTAACATCTGGGGTGATCAAAGGGTTAACTGTGTGTTAGGGTCTGATTTTATTGTGTACTGAGTGCCGCTTTACTAAGGAGACCTGAAGCTTTCTGTCTCTCTGCTGTGCAGAAAGGTAGAAAGCAGCACGTCCATGCTGACAGGAGAGAGACCTGTGTTTACACACAGATCTCTCCTCTCAACGTCGCCAACGACCACCGAGTTGCAGCTGGGAATCGCTGGCCGGGACTTGATGATTGACATCCTCAAGAACCAATAGCAGCGCAGGTAGGGCATCTCACGCACCTTCTACCCGGGAGTGCAAAATCACGTATATTTAGATAATTTTGCACAGCGTGGCTTCCCTGTAGCAGTAGATCTGTGGTGGGATAGTCATCAAGCGGTTAAAATGCACTAAAAGGTTCCACTGTGACAATGTAAATAAGTCCCAAATTCAGCTACTATGTGAGGCACAAGCCTCATAAACTAAAAAAAAATCCTTTTCCTTTCCTGACTGAGCTAAATTCACCTTCATTTGTGTCTAATACATTCCCCCTCCCCAAACACTGCAGTTCACAGTGGGAGGGCTTCAGCAACAGAGGCAGTGCTGTCAATCTAGAAAGCAGTGGACAAGACTAGATGTGGTCAGGTGCTGATTGACAACCTACAGATTAGTGAACCAGCAGTGACAGCCATTCCCCCTGCAATATCTTGTAGTGCAGGTGGAGCATCCTAACATGAGTGGCAACTCTTCTCTGAATTCAGGAGCAGTGCAGCATTGTTTACAACCCACCACAGAAAGCTGCAAGAGGTGGGCTTTACTGGCTGGATAAACAGGTATGTTTGGGACTTTGCAGGAGGACTAAGAGAAAACCGTGTAAATGTAATTATAATTGGGTACTGCAGCTATTTTTTTTTTTTTTTTTTTTGGAAGGCCATAGTTTTACTTTAATGGTGTTTATTGTACTATAGTTTTGGTGCTCAAATGGCTTTGGCCACACTGTAAAAAAAACAAACATTTAGACATGCCTCTGTTTTCTGAGTCAGGTTTCTGCTAAATGTTGGAATATTATGGTGGGATTGGTTTCGGTATACCCACAAGAACATATTATTTTGGCTTTGATTGGTTTTCAGTTTGCTTGAGATCAGGGCTTTGGATCTTGAAGTTTCTCCAGAAGTTCTCTTGAAGTCCACTAGATGGCACTCCAGGCTAAGCAATCTTTTAAAAAATGAGAGCACTCCAGATATCCAACCAAATACATATTGAAAGCATCATGTACACTGAGCGCTTAGAGATTGCCGCATTTTTGTGCGGGTAGAAGCTACCATCCAGCCCTGCTGCCAGTAGCTGGGATCTCATGCACAGGGGCTAAACAGTGTGTATAAGGAATTAGTGTACATGTATGTGAACTATTCTTCCTGCCAAGCGACATGCATTTGTCCGTCATGCTACAGAATTTCTTGTACAGCAGGGACCTGTAAATGAAAAATGCCTTGTAGACTGAGATTTAGAAAGCTTTGAGTCACCGACTATCTAAAAGGCTGCTATCATTAAACATATTGCATTTTGACAACTGTATGCAAATAATATATATGATAGTATTAAGGATAAGATTAGTTTTCACTTTATATTATTATATCCAGATATAGCGTAAGCTGTCTAGCAAAAGGTGGCAGGTAAAGTGGTTGGGGCAAAGTAGAACATTGCTGAGGGGGGTGACTTTTTATCTTCAATGTTTTTTTTTCTCTTTGTAGCATTTGTTGCAACTGTTCAGGCACCCCTGGTACTGTAAGACTTCATTCAAACCAGAACGTCTTGTAACTTGAAGCTCCAAAACGTTCAACATCCTAAAACCCTTGTATTTCAAAAGTGGCAGTTTGCGTATGAGCATATGACGGTCCAACTGCTACATGAACTGCTTTTGATGCAGATTTAGGTGTTTTTGGTCCAATAGACTTCAATGGGAACGCCTGTAAATACGCAAATTCAACATTCAGTCATATTTAAGATGTTTTAAGCCTCCCTCTAGTGCTTTTAATTTTTTCCTTGGCTAAAACAAAAACACCTGAAGCTTGAAAACATAACATGTAAAAAGATTGTACCCTACCTGGGATTCAAACCCATGACCTTGTGTGTACACAGCTGGCACTTTACCACCTACACCAGCGCCAGAAGTACTAATTATACCATACCTGGGATTCAAACCCACGACTCTACTCCAGAGGTGCTAAAAACAAGTGTTTTGGAAGCATATCTCAATTGTTTTAAATGTGTACCCAACCTGGGATTCAGATCTATGAGTCTACATTTGTACAACTGGGGCTTAATGCTCTGCATCACTTTCAGAGTTGCTAAAAGGAGAGTGAGAGGGGAGCGAAAAGGGAAAGTGATTAGCAACTCTGGAGGTGGTACACGGGGTAAAGCACAAGTTGTACAAATGTAGAGTCATGTCTTTGAATCTCAGGTAGGGTGTACATGTCAAAGGAAATAATATGCTTGTTTGTGTGTGCCAAAGTGCTCAAATAATGTCTGAAAATCACTATTCTCAGGTGCAAATGCAGCCTTATAGTTCTTATTCCAGATCCTTTCACTCTCGCTTCTACTGGACAGCTTGACATGCATGTAAAAGTGAGGACACTTAAAGTGATATTAAAGTTTATATTTTTTATTAAAATAAAAAAATGTATATACTTACCTGCTCTATGCAATGATTTTACACAAAATGGTCTCTTTACCTGTTCTTTGGTGGTCCCCTGTGGGTGCTGTCTGCCCAACGCCCTCATAGTCAGCCTGTACTACAGGGGGCATCCATGCAGGTGTGCCCTTGAGCTGGGCTGTGTGCGTTTATAGAGACACACACAGCATGGCTCAGCCACGCCCCTTACAGGGTTTGATTGACAGCAGCAGGAGCCAATGGCTCGGCTGCTGCCTTAGTGCCCATGAGAAGAGCCAGGCACAGCACTGGATTGAGAGAGGAACAAGGTTTTTTTTACCTTAATCCAGGGAATGCATTAAGATAAAAAAAATACTAGCTTTTTAGAACCACTTTAAAAGTGATCCCCGCAGGGGTGTCAAACTGGCGGCCCTCCAGCTGTTGCAGAACTACAAATGCCTCTGCCTGTGGGAATCAGGCTTGTAACTGTCAGCCTTGCAATTCCTCATGGGACTTGTAGTTCTGCAACAGCTGGAGGGCCGGCAGTTTGACACCCCTGCGAGCCTAGCAGGAACAACATTTACCTCCACACTATCCTGCCCTCCGGTGAGTCAAGCCTCAGCATTCATTTTTTATACTTTGTTCCTATTACAAGAAACAGCTTTTAATAATAGAATAGAATTCCCATCATCCACAGTGTGTGGAAGGACTCTTGGGAGTCAAGTTTGAAGCCCCCATGCAAGACTTATAACCTGTCCCCAATTTGACGAGATATCGCCCATGAAGTCGCTTGTTAATGTCGCCTGTACTGTACACTCTCCATTAATCCTACAGGGAGCTTGTACTTCACTGGAGCATAAAGATGCTAAAAATAAGTGACCTGAAACCACCACAGTTTCCCTTAGTACAAGTTCTTTTTTTCAAACCAAAAGCTCCAGATGTGATCTTGTATTATGGGGGGTGAGATTTAATCTCCCAGCCTGCGCAGTGAGCGGTTTTGGGGTCTAGTAAATCCAGGAGAGAAATCGTACAGTCCTGAGGAATTACAGCTTTGTGAAAACAATTGCCTTATTTTAATCTGTGAAGAAGAAACGGCCTTAGACGCCTATTGTGAGGGATTATAGGAAAAGCATATTTACAGCCATCTGTCGGGACAGGCAGAGAAAGCCGATGGGTTTCACCGTAAGTGACTGGACTTGGTTCATTCTGTAATTCTACAAACACAGCTTTCACATAAAAATACAGAACACAGTATTGTCCGCGCTGCTCATCCCCACCAACCAATCATATTTAGGCTTTCAGTAGTAGTTTGACAAGTGAAAGGTGACTTCTGATTGACTGCTACAAGTTCCTGCACTTTGTTCTTGTTAAATTCCATACTGAATAAAGTATAAAGAATGCCACTGTCTTCCCTCTGGAAATCCCATTTTCTGACTACCATGCTGATATAACAATGTCACTGTTTTTCTAGTAACTGACTGTAGCAAGCATGCAGCAAGTGAAGTCAGAGTAAAGTTAGAACTTCTGATTTGCATGCTTGTGTCCGGACAATGACGCAAAAAGTTTACATTAGCATGACAGCCAGGGAACTTTTATTTTAAGAGCAAGTGACTTGCCTTTCTGCCACATTTGGTGCTGGCATTTGGTGATTGGCCACTAAGGTATGCAGCTTCCTTCAGGGTGGGAAGATGGTGCCAGGCTTGGTGATTGGCTGCTCATGTACCAAGCTTTTTTGGATATGGGGGAGAGAATGTCAAATCTGGTGATTGGATGCTCAGGTACCAGAAAGAGTACCAGTCCTGGTGTTTGGCCGCTCTGGTTCTCAGCATTGCTGGAGGTGGGGAGAGCATGTCCGAGGATTATTGGCTGCTCAGTTATCAAACTCTTGTGGCAGAGAGAGAGAGAAATGCCAGCTATGGTGATTGGCTGCTTAGGTACCAAGCTCTTGTGGTGGGGGGAGTGTGTCAGCCCTGGCGATTGGCTGTTCAGGTACCAAGCTCTTGGAGGCATGGAAGGAGTGCCAGCCCTGATAACTGGCTGCTCAGGTACTGAGCTTTCTTAGGGGTAGGAAGAGAGTGCCAGCCCTGGTGATTGGCCGCTCAGTTACTCTGCTCCCTTGGAGGTGGGGAGAGAGTGCAGGCCCTGGCGATTGGCTGTTCAGGTACCAAGCTTTTGCAGGTGGGGCGAGAGCATGACAGCCAGGTATTTTCAGGAGTGACTCCCCATTCTGCCACATGGCACTTATAGCGCTTGGTGACTGACTACTAAGATATATAAAAAAATCAAGATTTCCACTGAGCCATATCCAGTTATGTTTAAACAGAAAATAATGTGGGAACATCCCCACAACAATTGTTGGACTTTACTGGCACATCATGAGATTGAAATAAAACACATGGAAATTTTTTCTTACAATGTTTCGATAATACATACAGAAAAAAGAATTCATAAAAATAAAATGCCTCATGGTGTCATATACAACAAAATACTTTAAAAACAATACTCCAAAGAGATTAGGACACGTTAGCCTGTGTAATCAATACACCCAACCCAGGTGAAATGCAGTAGATGGGTCCCAATTCATAGGTCAACATGTTTCGCAAAGAGCGTAGATTCTTCAGGACCATAAATTATGGGGTATATTTTTCTAATAGATAGAGAATACAAAACTAATATTAACAGACAATACAAGTAGATAAAGCATGTTAGCACATCATTATACCCGATAGCGGATACACATAGAGTATGCTTACATTGAAAATGGCTTCCTGTGTAACAAGTCTGGGGAGTGAGCACAGGGGCGACCAATCCCCACAAATTGGATGGCCCACGTTGCGGTGATATACACTTCAAAAGGATCTTTGAAAAATATAAAGACGATAAGGCGAGTATATAAGCATAAACAGGCCCTCAATTTTCAAAGCCGTGTGAAGTGAATACTTACCCAATAGTCTGTAACACTCAGATGTAGCTGTATATTGGTTCAGAATCAATAGGTATTACGGTTCCTCAAACCACATTCAACAAGATAGATATGGGGATAATATAGTGATTCCAAAGCCTAAAATATAGGGATTCCAATATAAAGGATTCCACAGACTAAAAATGAAAATAAATAAAAGGGAATTGGGAGTATTGTTATTAAAGTATTGTTTTTAAAGTATTTTGTTGTTGTATATGAACCAATGAGGTGTTAATTTTTATGCATTCCTTTTCTGTATGTTTTATTGTAATAAACAATTTCTATATATTTTAATTCTGTCTCATGATGTGCCAGTCCAACAATTGTTGTGGAGATGTTTCCCGTATTTTTTCTGTTTTGATTACTAAGGTACTCCGTTCCCTTGGAGGCAGGGAGAGAATGCCAGCCTAGGTAATTGGCTGCTCAGGTACTGAGCTCCCTTGGGGGTGGGATGGGGGTGTTGACTGGTCCTTCAATTACCATGTTCTTCAAGGAAGGGAGAGAGCGCCAGTCATGGGGATTGGCTATTCAGGTACCAAGCACTCTTGTGTAAGGGTTTCCTGCATTTGCCCTCCATGTTTGGAGCTCCAGGGGAAGAAAGGAAAAGTATGATTTGGATGGAGCTTATCTCCAGTTAACTTTTAAGTTACTTTTCCCATCTGTTCTTGTTCGGGTAACAATCTAAAATTTTTAATACTCCCTTCAATCCTATAACAGTCACCAGGATACATAGAGGAGGTGAATCTAGATAGCACAGATGGCAGTAAAAACCATACAGTTTCTAGCCTTTTCCTGCTCTTTTCAAAACGAAAAAACAAAAAGTTTAGGGTTTAGATATATTTTCAAGGTTGATGAGGCTTAGGTTGCACGTTGACTTCAAGGTTTTGGGTGATACGTGTATAAAACATAATGGAAGTTAGTTGTGCTGACAATTTCATACTCCCACACTAAAAGCGGCCAAGCCAATTTTTAGAAAAAAAAAAGTAACTTACTGAATGTGCTGGTCTAATAGAATAGCAGGATATTGTTCTAAAATGAGAAACTGTTAAAATAACTAAATGCAGTCAATTAGCACTTTCCCTGCAGTGGCAGAGCAGCTAATTTTCAACTTGACATGACGTGTTTACGCATACCCCCTACTCTACATTCATGCAGACTGACAGCAGAGCATGGAAAGTGTGCATTGCATCATGGGAAATGGAGATTATTCCTGGTTCTGTTCTAATCTGTTTTCACATGCTAAGAAGAGGAGTGACCACACAGAAGCACAAAATAAAATTAAATTATTAAAAAACTAGATTATTTCTTAACACAAAAGTGCTAACAACATGTTTACTTAAAGTGACGTTTTTTTTTGTAAAACATAAAATAACTTATCTGCTTTTTTTTTTTTCCCCCAAAAAAATTCTGACACTGTATATTCTTTTAAAAGTATCCCTTGGCAGCACCAACACACTCCCTGTTTTATATGGTCCCTGTGCTACTGCGACCAATGGAGTCACCTCTACATGCATGCTCCTGCTCTGTACTACAACAACGCATGCAGCATTCTGAGCACCACACACACAGGCAGTGCAAGAGACACACGCAGTGCAAAAGCCACACCTCTCCTCCTCCACAGCGATGAGTGACCAGTGGTTCTGTGTTCTTCTGCCGCTGCATGTATACGGTGCTCAGATCGCAGCATCTACAGTTGTACAGAGGAGGAGCGCACATGTACAGAATGGGATCTGAAGTAGCATGCACATTTTGGTTTTGTTAGAAGGTTTTCAAAAATCAATTTTCATTTCTGTTTTCTCAATCAGGTTCCGATCAAAAGTCCTCATCGTCTATAGAAGAGAAAGAAATGTCTCCGGAAATCAGCCTGAGACTAGAGACTGGCCCTAGCGCTAAGCGCTATTCTTTATTAGCAGCAGAGAATGGGTTCCTACAGTGCCAAGTGACGGATTTTACCTCCGAGTTCCTCACCTCTACCCTGGCAAATATCCGCCATTTTGTGGAAGACGACTCTGTGGCTGAAGTCATGCCAATGAAGATTAAGGTTCAGAGAGTCCGGCTACATTTACAGGTTAATAGAAAAAAAAAAAACTAATGTGAAATTCTGGTGTATATTTACTAATGACATACCTGTGTGACACTTACGTAAGAGTAGTTTTTTGGGATTTGCACTGTTATTTTTATTACATTTGTCCTATTTTTTTCTTGAGGGTACTGCAGAAATATAAACTGTCCCTCCTAATGGCTTTTTATGCAATATAGTCCCAGTTACACTAATGCATTAGCGTAAATGTGTGTTGCATGTGTGTGATGCAATGCGGTGCCGTTCATTCTGATGTTTGTCGGCATGGTTCCTTGTGGTGCTGTTTATTCTGAATGGCATCTCAATGCACCTCGCTGACAGACATGCAATGCAGTACATGGCAAGGCATAAACAATATATGTATCTTGTTTGAGGCATTTGGCAGTCTATTCAAATGAATGGGCTGCCGTGGTGCAGTGCACGTGTTAATAGGCCCTAAAATTGTCTTTTCACAACCCCGCAGAGCTGCTGCTTAAATTAAAGTGATATTAAAGGCAATTTACAACAAAAAACAAAAAAAAACAAACATGTTATAGTTACCTGCTCTGTGCAGTGGTTTTGCACAAAGCAGTCTTGATCCTCCTCTTCTCAGTTTCACCTCCAGCGTTATTGGCCCCTCCCTTCTGCCAGGTGCCCCAAAGGAAGCAGCTTGTTGTGGGGGCACCCAAGCAGGCTCACTCCTGAGCCGCTGCTCTGCTTGTAGATTTACACACAGAGCAACGGCTCGACCCTGCCCCTCTCTCTCCTCATTGGCTGTGATTGACAGCAGTGAGAGCCAGTGGCTGCTGCTGCTGTCTCAGCCGATGAAACAGGAGGGTCCCCGGAGAGCAGAGACCCTCATGCACATTGCTGAAGCATAATGGGGTCAGGTAAGTATTAGGTGGGCCTGGGGTGGTCTGTTGCACACAGAAGGTTTTTTATTTACCTTCATGCATAGAATGCATGAAGATAAAAAATTTTCAGTATGTATCTCCCCCCTCACCCCCCCCCCCCCCCCCATACTTACCCGAGTCCATTGGCTCCTGCTGCTGTCAATCTCAGCCAGTGAGTGTGCGGCAGGACTGAGCCACGCTCTTTGTGTTCCATAAATACACAGAGGTGGCTCGGGAATCGGCTTGCTCTGGGGGCACTCGGCAGCAGGGGGGGGGGGGACCCAAGAAGGAGGATTAGGCCTGCTCTGTGCAATACTACTGCACAGACCAGGTATGTGTGACATGTTTATTATTTTAAATTTAAAAAAATCAAGCCTTTAATACTAATAAAAACCTTCAGCCTTTAGAACCACTTTAATAATGTAGTAATTAGTACGTTAATAAGTGTCTCTGTCTCTATATCTGCCTGGAGTTCAGCTTTAGAGAATTAACCAGACAGAGAGGCTATTGTATTCTTTCAGTCTTTGGCAGACCACCCAGAGGGAGCAGTAAGACACAATCATTTTGCTGCAGTATTAGGAAGGAATAAGAATAGCATGTGACTGCCCTGGAGTGCCATGCCACTTAAATGTAGAATGTTTAAAATGGAGCTCTGCAACCAAAAGTAGGCACATAAACTGATGATTGCACAAAAACAGTATGACCCAAAGTTGGTGAACACCTAACCTTCATACCATTCCCAGGCTGTTGGCATGAATGTGGAGTTGGCCTCCCTTTGTGACTCTATGGTTTTTGGAGTGTGTCTGTTGAAATATGCACCCATCAGCCAAAGAAACATTTGTGAGGTCAGGCAGAGGACAAGAAGACCTGGCTTTCATCTCAAAAGTGTTAAGTAGGGTTGAGTTAAGTACTCTGCGCAAGACACCCAAGGTCCTCCTCACCAAACCCATCAAACCATGTCTTTATGGAGCTGAGTTAGTGTATAGAGGTGCAATCATGTCAGGTGAATTGTTCCACAAGGTTGGAAGGGCACAGTCTATACAAATGCTGTATCATTAACAGTACCCTTCACTGAAAACATCTTAACTCAATATTATATACTCCACATATTTTTGGCTACAGTATATTGCAGGGGGCTCAAACCTTTCTAAACAAAGAGCCAATTTACTGTACTTTAGGTTTTAGGATGGCTGGACTGTGGCCAGTGGGAGTAGAAAATGCCCTAGCATCAGTAGGAGTGGACAATGTCTCAAGCTTGGTGGTCAGTGAGAGGAAAAAGAATTACATAGCACCTGTGGTCGGTAGAAGAAGAAATAGTGTCCTGTCATTGGTATTAGTGAGAGGCATAGTGTCCTATCATTTGTTTCAGTAGGAGAAATAGTGTCTCATCATTTTATTAGTGAGAAGCATAGTGTCCCATCACTGGTTTCAGTAGGAGGAATAGTGTCCCATCATTGGTATTCGTGAGAGCCATAGTGTTCCATCATTGGTTTCAGTAGAAGGAATAGCGTCCATTATTGGTATTAGTGAGAGGCATAGTGTCCCATCAATGGTTTCAGTTGGAGAGATAGTGCCCCCATCATTGGTGTTAGTGGGAGGAATAGTGCCCCATTGTTGGTGTTGGGAGTTATAATGCTCCATCATTGGCAAAGTGGAAGGAATAGTGCCCCACTGTAGATATTAGTTGGAGGCATAGTGTCTCTTTTCAGTGGGAGGAATAGTACCCCCAAGGGCCAGATAAAGGCAAGCAAAGGGCCGCAGTTTGGAGACCACCGGTATAGTGTATAACATATTGTACCTCCAAGCCACAGAGTTAAAATTGCAAATTTTGACATTTTGTCAGAGTCTAAGCTAAATCCCCTCCAATCTCTTGGTTAGAGAGTTTCAGAGCAATGTATTGAGGGACTAAGGGGTAGGGTGGCAGAGCTCCAGTCTTAAACCAAGAAGTAGCCATGATAGTGAGCACTTAGTGGCTTTAGAAAGCACTAAGTGGTTTATTTATTAAAACTGGAAAGTGCAAAATCTGGTGCATCTCTGCATGGTAGCCAATCAGCTTCTAACTTCAGCTAGTTCAATTAAGTTTTGACAAAAAGGAAAAAAAAAAGGAAGCTGGTTGGCTACCATGTAGAGCTGCACCAGATTTTGCACTCTCCAGCTTTAGTAAATCAACTCTTAAGTGGCTGTGTAGTTTTCTCTTGGCTCCAGAGCTCAGTTTTAATCAATTTCACTACAATTGCGCTTTCATAAGGACTACTGCACACAAGATCCAAGGGGTAGCTATATGTTTCCTGGTGTGCAAAAAGTGTACTGAAATGTTAATTAGAATGCTTAGAGGGAAGAATGATATCAAAATGCATCACTCCGCACTGATAATTCTGTTTTCATGAATAGCCACTTCTAGAGGCCAGCGGCCTGGCTTGCAGGGGGGAAGAGTGTTGTTAGTTTTGATGAAGAAGGAGCTAGGCAGGGTGAACAAGTGATATTGCCCTTTAGGGTCCATTCACATCTTTCTGCCAGCTCTCCATGCAACGCAGGTGCACGGGAAAGGTGTGTTGGGGGAAAGAATAGAACAGAACAAATAGCACCATACAGCACCAACAGGCGTAATGCGTGTTACCGCAGTGCTAGTGTAAGTAGGTAACTGTAATCCAGTGAGTGTGTGTTTTTTTAAATTACTAGTAATGTTTATTCATTATTATACATTACCAGGTGCTTCTTATGTGTATAGGTATTTGGGCTTCTTAAATACATAGGTATACTGTGTTTATGATAAAAACGTTCACTTCATTGTTTCTATTGTCTTTTGGGGTTTTTTATTGATTGCATACAAGCCTGAAACTTGTAAGCAGGAAGCAATGAAAAAAAAACTGTTAACAGGCAAATGGCTAAATAGAGAATTGATATTCAGTGGGGAAAATAGTTATTTGATCCCCTGTGACACAGCGGATCACCGATCAACGGAAGGAGCCGAAGCTGTCGGCTCTGTCACGTGATCAGCTGTGTCCAATCACAGCTGATCACATGTAAACAGGGAAATTCCAGTTATCGGCATTTCTCTCCTCACGAGCTGTCACGCTGACAGCTCATGAGGAGAGCCGGTAATCAACATTCCTCAGATGGGACATAAATACTGATCATCAGGGCACTGATGATCAGTGTGCCCTGATGATTAGTGTAGTCCCAGCAGTGCCACCTGTCAGTGTCCATCAATGCCACCTGCTAGTGCCCATCAGTGCCACATATCAGTGCCTACCAGTGCACATCAATGCCACATATCAGTGCCCATATGAGCTGCCTTCCAGTGCCGCCTAACAGTGCCAGTCAGTGCCGCCTAACAGTGCCAGTCAGTGCCACCTAACAGTGCCAATCAGTGCCTCCTATCAATGCCATATGAGTGCTGCCTTTCAGTGCCCATCAGTGATGCCTGTCAATGCCCATCAGTGCCACCTACTAGTGCCTCCTCATAAGTGCCGATCAGTGCAGCCTATCCGTGCCCATCATCAAATAAAAAACCCAGAGGTGATTAAATACCACCAAAAGAAAGCTCTATCTGTCTCAAAAAATGATAAAAATGTCATATGGGTACAGTGTTGCATGACAACACAATTGTCATTCAAAGTGCGACAGCGTTGAAAGCTGGAAATTGGCCTGGGCAGGAAGGGGGTATAAGTGCCCGGTAGGCAAGTGGTTAAAGTGGAAGTAAACCGCAGCTAAAAAAAAAAAAAAAAAAAATAATAAAAATCCCTGCAAGGTAATGTCACAATGTGCTAGTATGCATCACATACTAGCACATTATGAATGACTTACCGTAAAACGCAGCCCTCCAATGGCACGCTGTCACTGCTGCAGAAGCTTCCATCTTCATCTGGTCTTCCTTCCAGGGTTTGTGAGCTACGGCCTTCTGACTCTGGGAGTCCTGGGCCACGGCTTAGTGCTCTGAAGGAACGGCACAGGTATGCATTGCACCGTCTCTCAAATAGGATGAGTATCTGCTAAATGGTGCACGTTTAGGAGATATTCATTTTACCTAAGGGTAAGCTTCATTATTAGCTTACCTGTTGGTAAAAGTATAAAAAAAAAAAGTTTACTGCCACTTTAACTTTATGCTCACCCAGTCTGTCCTAACAAAGGGTCAAAGGACTGAGCTTGGGTGGTACATTGTTTGTTAAGGCATTTAACATAACCCATAATTGCACTTTGCGAGTTATTCTGAACAATTTCAAGCTGCATATAGTCTTATGTATAAATCTGCTCCAAAGAAACTACTAGAGAAGCAAGAAATATATTTTAAATGTATGTTTAGGTATGCTGTGGGAATATGAACACTTAACTAATATAGTGGGGATTTCTCAAATTTGACTGCAAAAGTGGAAATGCGCTTTAAATTATGTAATTGGATTAAATGGTGTTTTCTGATATCTGCCTGGGTTCAGCTTTAAATGAACAGCTAGGTATTTCAAAATGGTAACTAAAAAAATCCTGCAGCTACGACAACACAATAAGCAAGCTTCTTGATATTCCCCTCTCCGGCAAGCTGGGGATATTAGATTAGAAATGATTCACCACAGGCAGAAATCCATTACGGTATATTGGCCAGTACCTGTGAAACCCCCATGGTTTCCTGAATCTCCAGATGCCACATTTACAGGTAATATTTATAGGACAAGCATGAATCACCACCTTTTTAATGGATTATTCTATTACAACGTAATTGTTTTATTGCATCTACCACTGGTGTATACTATGCATTGCTTACCAAGAACTGTCATGACAACATAACGTGAACTAACTTGGTGCCTTTCTTTCATGTTACAGAGAAAATATGGTATTTTGGTTTACATTGGAAAGTTTGCAGAGAAATGTAAAGAAAAAATCTGTGTTAAAGGGAAACCGTAGCCTTTTTAAAGTAGATATAAACTGTACCTGAAGAACTCTTGGTTTGCTAAAGCACTGTATAATGACCATTTTTGTTCTTTAAATTTAGAAAATATTTTTTCATCTTAATTCTCCATTGTTGCATATAAGCACTGCTGAGCTCCTACATCCTTTTTGCAGCCTCTTCCTGTCTAAATGCATCCATCAGTGATGGCTGCACATCATTTATTGGGTCAGATTTTCTGATGGTGACAACAGCCTCTTGTAGCCTCCTTTAGCTGAGTATGTGACAGGCTGGCAACACGGAGAACAATTTAAAGACATGAGCATAGCGTTGTCACTGTATTACAGAAGGTGCCTGCATGAGGAAATTCATGGCAGAGTCACCAAGTATTATATTGAAGCCCAAGTGTTTTGCTTGGACAAAAACAAAAAGTAGAGTGGATCACCCAGCAGCTCTTAAATAAAATCTAACTCTGTACTTGCATGATCTCCAATGCTGCTGTTCTGGGTTAAATGACACCCAGCATCATTCAATCCTCTTCCTGTGAGCCCAGGGAGCCAAGGCAGGGCAGATATCCAATTAATACCACTTGATCATTTCTGTAAATGGGACAACATGTGTTGCAGCCTGTGCAATTGCCATTGTATTACACTTGAATTCTAAAGCATCTTTTTATCTTTTAGGATGACAGTCCACGGAATAACAACAGTGAGCAACAGCCAGAGCCCTTAATGTTTAATATCGAGAATCTCTTGATAGAGCGATATGATGATGGATCATTTTGTATCAAAGGTAAGCTTCCATTCTTCCCCTTCTGTTTTGGGACAGAATGATGATCAGGGAAGACAGGTAAAGAACTGTGAGAACTGGAGGGACAGAGTAGAGAATAGGGACCAGTGCTAAGAGCTGACCTGAGAACTGAGTGATCTGCAGTCTTTGATCACTCAGTTCTTGGTGTAGAGGCAGCAGAGGACAGATGCAGCATCAGATCAATGCTGCATACACCAAGGTGAGTGTAGAACAGTCCTCCTGGTATGGTCCTGCTGTTAACCCAGGTTCTAATCCCTTTTTAGAGCAAGCAGCCAGGCACAGGGTATTTTCAGCCAGGTGCATTAAATGTCACTAAATCCCCAGACAGTAATCAGGGAAATAGTGTCTTGCTTTTGTTTTGTTTTTTTATTTGTTTTGTGGAACTGGGATAGGGATTAGGAAAAACCTTGGGATGTCCAGAAGTAAACAACTTGGATGAGGACTCTATCTTGAAATGGTTAACTGAAGTAAAGCAAAGTTCTTTGTACAAAAAGTAGCAATGGCTCAGCACACAGGGGCCTTCCATTATGAGTGCAGCCCCTGGCAGCAGGTCAGGAATAGTCTCTCTAGTAAAAATGGTGTACAGGTAACAGTCTTCTCCTGAGAATTTTCTTAGGGCTAACTGTGATCCAAGCAATCTGAAGGCCTTCTTCCAGCTTCATCTGACACTGGCGCAAGAGTATCCCAGGAAGATCCTCTTTTGATGTTGCCCTGGTGTTCCTGTGACTGGGGGGGGGGGGGTGATCCTTCATCTCCTAGGACCTAGGTAAACTAGAATCATTCAGAACTTCTTAAACCTTCTCCTAAGCTTTGGAAGGTTTAACAGCACTTCCGGGCTGGGGCAGTTTCCAGTAGGCCAGTGGTGGGCAACCTTTTTTTTCAACTGAGCCAAATCTCGCCAAAACCACGATTGAAATTTATTTTGAGAGCCACATTTTTAAAACTGAAAATACATCTCCCATATAGTAATTCCCCCATAGTAATTCATCCCCCATATAGTAATTCATCCCCCATATAGTAATTCATCCCCCATAGAGTAATTCATCCCCCATATAGTAATTCATCCCCCATATAGTAATAATCCCCCCCATATAGTAATTCATCTCCCCATATAGTAATTCATCCCCCATAGTAATTCATCCCCCCCCACAATATATAGCAATTCATCCCCCATAGTTCATCCCCCATAGCATTCATCCCCCATATAGTAATTCATCCCCCATATAGTAAGTCCCCCCATATTAATTCATATAGTAAGTCATCCCCCATATAGTAATTCCCCCCCATATAGTAATTCAGTAATTCATCCCCCATATAGTAATTCATCCCCCATATAGTAATCCCCCCCCATATAGTAATTCATATAGTAATTCCCCCCCCCTATAGTAATTCATCCCCCATATAGTAAGTCATCCCCCCATATAGTAAATTCATCCCCCATATAGTAAGTCCCCCCCCCCATATAGTAAGTCCCCCCCCCATATAGTAAGTCCCCCCCCCCCCATATAGTAAGTCCCCCCCCCATATAGTAAGTCCCCCCCCCATATAGTAAGTCCCCCCCCATATAGTAAGTCCCCCCCCCATATAGTAAGTAAGTCCATCCCCCCCCCATATAGTAAGTCCCCCATATAGTAAGTCCCCCCTGTGTCAATTCACTTACCTTTGCTCCGCGCGTTCCTCTCGCTGTGCTTCCCGCGCCGTTCTGGTCTTCAGGGCGGACTGTGAGAGGAGAGGAGTTCGTCACGCTGCCCCGCCTACATCCTGGCTGCCCCGCCTACATCCTGACAGCTGCAGAGTCCTGACTTTTGGGGCGGCCGCCCGAGAGGAGGGAGGGGAGCGGGCGGGCCGTCCGAGAGGAGGGAGGGGAGGGGGGAGGGGGGGAGGTGAGGGGGGGCCGCCCTGCACACGCCCGTCCGAGAGGAGGGAGGGAGGGAGGGGAGCGGGCGCCCCCTGGCACACAGAAGAGCCGCATTTAAGCTTGTAAAGAGCCGCATGTGGCTCGCGAGCCGCGGCTTCCGACCACTGCAGTAGGCAAAGAAACCTTCTACTCTCTGCTCTAGTATATATATTCCTATAATCCTCTCTCTGCTCCCTGCTGATCACTTTCCCAACCAGGGATTTGCTGACGCTGTATACAGCTCAGGTTCTACCTTCTCCGCCCACTATGTTCCAGAGGTTTCTTGAAAGACCAGAGAGACAGGCAAGTCTGCAGCTGCAGAGACAATCCAAAGACTTAGCTGGCCACAGCAGAGCCCAAAATAACTAAATTTGCCTTTTTACTAGCAGCTAACTAGGAGGGTGCTACATGAGTATGAGTGTTTTTTTTTTTTTTTAATCCCACGCTTCTCTTTTACATTTGTATTGCCGATAAAAGAAGCCTCCCAGCAAGAAATTTTAGTTTTCCATTGTACGGAAATGTTTGGAGACATAAAGTATATATAAAAATAAAAGTAATATAAAGTGTTTTAGGTCAGCGGCTCAGATATAGTGAAGCCAAAAGCAACAGCATGGTAGCCAGGTACCTAGTATTTTCAGAATGTATGGCCATCTACAGAAGGCTCCATGCGTCTTTCATGGCAGGTTTCCTTTAGAGAAGAACTAAAGCCACAACAAAACTTGTTTTCTATTTTGGGTAGAGTAATGGAGAGTTATAACCCCTGTAATTTTTTTTTTTTTTTCAAAATATGTCCCATTGAAGAGATTTTCCTTCACTTCTTGTCCCACAGCCACAACAGGAAGTGAGGGGTATTCCTTCCAAAGAGAGAGTTTTAACCAGAGTCACTAGAATTGGTGTCTGCATTGGAAGACTGCCCCTCTATCCCTGTTCTGGTGACAAATCATACTTTGGGGTTTTCTTTCACTTTCAGTGAGAATCATCCCAAGAACAAATAGAAATGGTGAATCTCCCTAACAGGGACACAGACAGCAATAACTGCTGGACAATTTTAATTCCTCTTCACTTTACCCAAACCTAAAAAAGGTTGTGCCTTTAGTTATACTTAAAGGTACCCACATATGACAGTATACAATTGTTCCTAAAGATTGCCTGTACCCAGAGAAATATTTGGGCTGTCGTTACTCACATCTCCTTCTTAAAATGCCTATTAAGACTTTTAAGTAGTTTCTGAGTCAGTGATCTAAAACAAGTATACAGCCAGTGAAGTCAGACCTAATAGTCAACATACTTGTTCCAGATCAGCGACTTTAAATATTGAAACCGATTGATCAGCATGACATCCGAGCAACTGGCATTTTTGGATGAGGTCAGCAAAGCAGCCCTGGCATTTCCCTGTGCACAGGTTTCTTTTAAATGAGGCTCAACAGGGTGTACAGCTTTGAGCAATCAAGGCAATTTATGGGTATGGTTGTTAGTCGCAGATAAAACAGCAGAACAAAATGATCTCTTCTAAGGCCTTATTCACATGGACGCACTACAGTGTACACTTGTGCGTTTGCCGCTTTTGCCAGCACAGAGATCCACCAGTGTTCCATGCATCTCTATGCAGGCAGTCCCTTTAATGTAAGTTGGGACGCAGTAGTTGCTCCCAATTTGACATCTGTGCGGGTGCACAGCCCCAAATCCAGACAGTGTGTGAGTTCAGTGCCGGTTTCTCAAATTTTGAGCAGCATCTGTGTCCATGCAGCCACTGCGTCCCAGTTTACATGAATGGGACTGCCTGCACTGGGATGCATGGAACATCACTGTACCCCGTGCAAGCAAATGCGGCCCTCGCATGGTCATACACAATAGTACATCTATTATCCATCGGCTCATCTCCCACAGCTATTACCTTTTGTGTCACTTGACCCTCTCTCTTAGATTGAAAGCTCTAACGAACAGGGCCCTCTGATTCCTCTTGTACCAAATTGTATTGTAACTGCTTCATTTTGTAAAGCGCCGAGCAAACTGTTGGCGCTATATAAATTCTGCATAATAATAATAATGTAAACAAAATATACAAAAATATACAACTGTATTCTTAACACACTTTTATACTTTTTATTGAATTTTATTTTTATTTACTTTTACACTTTTATTACCCCTCGCCTCACCCCTTCAGTCTCCGCCTGAATCACCCGCCTACTGAACGACATATCAGACTGGATGTCACTCCACTTCCTCAAATTAAAACCTATCCAAAACCAAGCTCCTAATTTTCCCCCCAGCCCGCGCCCCTCCCCCCATCCTCTCCATCACGACCAACAACGCCACCATCAGTCCCACTCCGCAAGCCAAAGTCCTAGGTGTCACTCTAGACTCAAATCTGTCCTTCCAACCCCATGTCCAATCGCTGGCAAACTCATGCAGGCTCCACCTCCGCAACATCTCCAAAATACTTACGTTCCTAACCCCAGACACTACTAAACAACTCATTCACTCCCTTATTATCTCACGACTCGACTACTGCAACTCCCTCCTCTCCGGCCTACCTCATCAGACTATCCCCGCTTTAGTCTTTCCTGAACTCAGCGCTAGACTCATCCACCTTACTAACCGCTCCGTATCTGCCACCTCCCTCTGTCATTCCCTCCATTGGCTTCCGATTGCCCAACGCATAAAATTCAAACTACTAACATTGACGTACAAAGCCATTCATAACATTGCCCCAAACTACCTCACTGACCTGATACCCAAATACCACCCAACTTGTACTCTTCGCTCCTCACAAGACCTCTTACTTTCTAGCTCCCTGGTCTCCTCCTCCCACGCCCAACTGCAGGACTTCTCCAAGACTTCCTCCATCTTCTGGAACTCACTACCCCAATCTATCAGACTGTCACCTACCCTCCTCACCTTTAGGCGCACTCTGAAAACCCATCTCTTCAGGGAAGCCTACCCCACCCTCACCTAACGGCTGATCTCCTCCACTCCTCCCACCACTCCATCCCCCACAGCTACTTCCTCCTGTACCACTATCCCCTCCCTCCTAGATTGTAAGCTCGAAAGAGCAGGGCCCTGGAACCCCTTGTGTATTGTTTTGTTACTGTATTGTCTCATGTACTGTCCCCCACTATATTGTACAGCCCTGAGTAAACTTTTTGGCGCTATATAAACACTGTATAATAATAATAATACCCCAAAAAGGATGCTTATATAGCTTTACTTTAATCTGGCAGGTAGATCATTCTTCCTTGTTCTCTTTTTATTTTTTTTTTCCTGTTATTCATAGGTAATCCAGATGCAAGCACTAGCTCCACCTCAAATAACAAAGAATTGAACCATATAGGTTCCATAAACTGTGATAATACCAAAAGTATACAGCACAGAAGCAGCGCTACAAAATGCACACAGACACTTTGTGATAACCCTGTACAGACCGAACCACTAGAAAAGAATAAAAGCTACAATCGGAAAGCAAAAGCTGTTGGTACAGAAGAGGTAAGGTGTCCTGCAAGCAGCACTACAAGACAATTTGCTTACAGTGTCCCCTTCAGAGAAAAAAGTTTTCTTCCTGCCTTGCACATTTGCGTTCCTGGTTTCCTGTCGTGGTCTGTGGTTCCTCCTGCCAGCCCCAACATCACTATGAGTATGAGACACAGTAATGATGTAAGGACCAGAGGTTCCAACCACTGAGTGGAACAGTGGTGAGAAATCCGTAACACCTGAATGTTTTGGATTCTGAAGATTCTTCAGGAAGGGAAATATTTGCTGAACAGCCAAGCTTGGTTGAGTGCGGTGTAGGAGGGGTACTAACTGTCTTCTTTGCAGGGGGGACTTTTTTTAAAATGTCTGTTCTACCCATGGAGTCTTTGCTGTTCAGGTTCTTGACAGGCTCTCATTAGACTAACATTCCTATCCAACCCCACCCATTTTCTTGCCTTCAGTGGGTCTACTTCCTTGCTTGAATTTGTGTCCGTATTGGGGCTTATGCAGATTTAATGGCCTGTTTAATCCTCCAGATGACAGTGTTTGGGCCTGGGATTTGTCTGTTCAGGCCTAAGCATTGAAATCTGGGTGGAAGATGAAGGGGACATATGCTCCCTCATACCCAGAGGTACCAAGTATTTCCAAAGAGAGTAACGTAAGATTAAGTTCTGCGATACAAGTTGGGTCTGGAGAAGCTCTCTGGAAAGAACAGGAGGAAGTTGGTGGGAAAGAGGTGGGGAAGAGCTCTCCTATGGTGGCGTGTCTTCATCTCCCTCACTAGGAGGGTGGATATTGACTGAAGGCAAGTGCTGATCAACATACTGTATGTATCAGCTGCATTCTCTACAATGTAAAAGCCAACAGGGTGAGAGTAAATCCTCTTTTAAATCTGTAGCAGGTGGGAGAGTTTAGGAGTTCAGTGCAAAGCTGGTATTTTTGCTGCAGTTTGGCTCCTCTGTGTGTAATTTTGCATTCCAAAAAATCCACAAATGTTCCATTTTAGTTGCAGTAGACCTTTAAATATTATCCTTACTATATCTTTTTTTAAAGATAAAAATGTAACTGTGCTGAAGCTAGGCAATAAGCTGAGCTAATCTTCTGAGCACTCAGAGATCCTTCAGAAGTTAGATAGGAAATTGTGATTTCACTCAAAAAAACTGTTTGCCTAAGCAGCAAACTCTTTGTCCAAAATTAATTATCATAAAAATCACTTATGTCTTTGAAGTGCTCCCGATTAATCAGGCGATCGGATTGAGTCTTAGTTCACCTCTCGTGTCCTAGGGGAGATTGACGCTCTTTGCGGAACGTTCTGGATTAATCAGCAGTTAGCAATGAAATATTTATGTCTCTATGTGCTGCTTGTTAAACTTAGGAACACACTTCAGAAACGTTACCCAGTGAGCAGAAGTATTTATATCGCCAGAGAAGTTTAACTTGTTATATCTTCTTGCATTCAAATGGGATTTCAGATTTGCTTCTAGATTTCCTTTCAAAGTTGAACTCTAGGCAGGTATAAAATACACAAATTACAGATCTGTAATCATGAATACATCAATAATGCAATTTGTTTATGGTGCAAGCAGTGTAGGTACATGAGTTTGGCTTGACCTCTTGCAGTCAGCACTAGAAGCCAATCAGATGTCCTGCATGCAAGTGTGCTGATAAGGAACAGGGTCACCAGAGGGATGACTTAATAAGACTGCTGCTGCTCTTTCACTGTCCAATCAGTAGGCTTGGTGAAGGGAAATGACAACACTGTATTTCTTATAGTGGACCTTTTACCATTAAATTCACTTCCTCCCCACTTCCTTTTATGTGATTGCATATTTAATTTTTTTGCATGCAATATATTATTTTTGCTGCATTTTCTCTACTTACTCCTTTTTGATTGCTTATGTGACATCCCCTCAGCCGTCAACAGGCTCCTTGGGATATACACATCACATATACCAAAAGGCAATAAGTGCTAAAGTACCCCGTGATTTTGTGCCTGCATACTGTCTTCTGTCTAATGCTGTCTTCTGACTGGCTGTGTAAAGGGGCTGCGTACATCTCAGGACTGAATAGACAGCAATGCAGACTGTTTGCCAGGTAACAGGGCCCCCTCATGTTTATTTCATCTGTGTATTTAGATGTGGTGTCGGACATTCCACTTTAAAATGAAACAACTGATTTGTTTCCTGCCCCCCAAGACAAAGGTTTTCACTTTTTCACACACTGTAGCTCAGAATTCACTCCACTGTGTTTCTAGCATGTTGGGATATAACCAGCGAAAGAAGGGATATCCTTGAGGGTTTAGAAGCAAAAACACTTCAGATATCATGATGCTATTTTACGCACACTAGCAATATGTCATTTTTGCTGGTTAGGAATGACCTGAAAACATGATAATGAGATGTTTTCCAAGGCAGCAAAAAGCAGCCAATCTTTCCGAAAGCAAACAAAATTGGAGCTGTCGAGTGTACTATTCAATCATGTCCTTTGTTTCATTATTCTAGAGAAAGAAGGAATAATTTTTATAGCAAAGTGTTCCAAATATTGCTCTGATTTAATAGACTGGCCTCTTGGTGCCCTTTTTCTTCCGCTTCTTTCCAGGCATAAAATCCTAATTTGTTCCAAAGATAAACTCTCATTGTCAGTTAATGATCAGCTCCATTTCATTGTTATCTTCATGTTTGGAAACTGATTGGCTGGCATCCAGTTGGTGCCTCTGCCTTGCATAAATCCCTCCTCTCGCCCAATCCTGGCAGCTGTTAATAATTTTAAATGTTTCTGTAGCTAAAACTTTTTTCCTGTTAAGTATAACTAAAGGCATTTTTTTTTTTGTTTTGCATAGAGTGGTGAAGGGTTAGAACTGCTGTCAGGTTTATATAGCTGTCTGTGTCTCTCTCTTATTGTCTTGACCATCAGTGCCACCAGGAATGAAATTGGGAGGAAATCCAAAAATATGAGTTGTAGATCCAACGCTTAAAAAAAAATTTTGATTACGTTTGCACTATTGCTCTACAGCAAGGGTCTTCAAACTTTCTAAACAAAGGACCAGTTTACTGTCCTTCTGACTTTAGGGGAGCCGCATGGTGGCCATTGAGAGTAGAAATTGTCCTGGCATCAGTAGGAGTAAATGATTCATTTTTGGCATTAACTGGAGGAATAGTTCCCTATTGGTGATGTCAGTGGGAGGAATAGTGCCCCATTGGTGGTGTCAGTGGGAGGAATAGTGCCCCGTTGTTGGATTCAGTGGCAGGAATAGTGCCCTATCGTTGGCGTCCGTTGGAGAAATAGTACCCCATCGTGGGTGTCAGTGGGAGAAATAGTTCCCCATTGTTGAATTCAGTGGAAGAAATAGTACCGCATTGCTGGTGTCAGTGGAAAGAATACTGTCACATCGTTGGTGTCAGTGGAGGAAGGAATAGTGACCCATTGATGGTGCCAGTGGGAGAAATAACGCCCCATCGTTGGAGTCAGTGGAAGGAATAGTGCCCATTGTTGATGTCAGCGGTAGGAATAGTGTCCTATTGGTGTCAAAGGGGGAGTCAGTGGAAGGAATAGTGCCCATTGTTGTCAGCGGTAGGAATAGTGTCCTATTGGTGTCAAAAGGAGGAATACTGCTCCATTATTGGTGTCAGTGGGAGGAATAGTGCCCCATCATTGGTGTCAGTGGGAGAAATAGTACTACATCATTGATGTTAATGGGAGAAATGGTGCCCCATTATCGGCGTCAATGAGAAATAGTGCCCTCTTGTTGATATCAGCAACAGGAATTATGCCCCATTGTTGGTGTCAGTGGGAGGAGTAGTATCCCATCATTGGTGTCAGTGGGAGAAATAGAACCACATCATTGGTGATAGTGGGAGAAATAGTGCTCCATTTTTGGCATCAGTGGGAGAGATAGTGCCCTCTTGTTTATATCAGTAACAGAAATTATGCCCCATTGTTGGTGTCAGTGGAAGGAAAAGTGCCCCAAGGGACAGATAAAGGCAAGCAAAGGGCTGCATCCATCCCCCAGGTCGCAGTTTGGAGTCCACTGCTCTACAGTAATGTGCATTCTTCCATAGGTTGACGTGTGTTGCTTTAAGGCAGTTCATTCATTTAAATGGGCTACCTATGGCACCACATTGCACCAAAATCTCTTAAGAGTCCATACTTAGTCTGCGTCAGTCTCCGGGTGTACGATTGCGACACTTATTTTATAGAAATTCGAACCACAGGAAGATAAAAAAAGTATCCAATGCATTTCAGGGGCCAGAACATCCCCCCCAAACAAAGCTTAATTAAGAAAAACCATAATTGATGTATGTGGGTAAATGTCAAATTGCAATAAGCAAGGGATGAAACTATTGTATTAATTTTGTAACGCAGCACACCACAATGCACAGTGGGGCAATACAGAGCATTGCGGTGCATTTCAGCTTGTCTGTTAGCAAGGTACGTTTTGGGTGCCATTAAGAATGGCCTGTCAGTCATGTGATGGGTTTCCTCTCCCTGCCACAGTGTTCTTTACATCTTTATGCAGAGAACACTTTTTTTAGACATCACAGGCTTAACACCATGCTCTGCATTTTATAAGTAGAATAATTTATAAGTAAAATGCACATACACGGCCATGTCCTGCAGAGAGCAGATACTGCTCTCCATTCTAAAATATCACTGTAAGGGTCTTTGACTCTTCCTTGTGAATTTTATCTGTAGAAACAATGATCACTATTTATGCAGTGTCTTCATAGCAGCAGTGTATTATAAAATGCATATAGTCTAAATCATACTAATTGCCTTCCTCTATTTTTTTCTTGCAGCTCCTTGATGAAAATGAATGTCTTAAACAAGAACTGGCCAAAACCAAGATGGCTCTTGCTGAGGCTCACATGGAAAGGGACAGCCTTCTTCATCAAATAAAGAGGTTTACCTTGGACAAGTAGCCTTGTATTTTGTACTGGAATGAAATGAAGAGACTGAATAAGTTAACTGTCAGTTCCAGTAACAATTAGATGATCTTGGCCAGGAATTGACTGAAACGGAAGTCACCAAGATTCTTTGTACTTGGTTAGTAGAAGGGTAGACGTGATGTTTAAGGCCGTGCAGGGATGTATATTAAAACCTGTGCCCGGAGCAGTTTTTGTGTCCCACAGAAACCAAATATTTAGTAAGCAATCTGGTGTTCACATTGAAGTTCTACTGGGTATGGAAATACGATTGGTTGCTTTGGGTCACAGCAACTTTTTCACATGCACAAGTTTGTAGGAATGTACACTTCATGTTTTATGTAGCCATCTTTATAACAAAATCATGCAGTTCCATTGTCTTAATTGTCAGCCTGAAAACTTCAAAGGGTAACGCCATAAAGACTCACCTCTGAATGGTCCTGGGATCAGTTGGTCTGTTCTTCCATCTCACTCCAGTAGGTGTTACTACTAACCATTGCAGTGAGCTGGAGGTACAGGCCATGGTTGCCGATGGTGCTTTGCAGCTGGGACTTAAGTGAGGAAAAAATGCATGGATGTAACTTTAATTTATACTCTCCTTTACACTACATTACAGGTACAGTCTTGTTGGCGTTCCCCTTTCAAGAGAACTTGTGCTTTGCCCATAGAGAGAGCAAAGTAACAGGTTCACCTAATTACCAATCTCCCAGCTGCACATACATGTCACATAATTTCCTTCACTTACTTGTAGCTCCATTTGGCTATCTAGGACAAAGAGAGAAAGCCGGTATAAGATCCAGGTCATCAGTTGGAGCTTACAAAGGGCTGAGGGCTCTCACCCAATCCCTACCAGAACTGTAGTGGTGTGACCCTCCTGCGCTCAAAATAATGTGTTTAAACAATTAACAAATAAATGAACCCCAAAACAGCTGCTAGCATTAAATCATATACCAGTGATCAAGTGAATATAAACCTAATAAATGCTGCGCTACATTCAAAAATTAAAGTGAATGTGGAATACAATGACATAAATCAATATATTGACAATAAAAACCATATAAATGCTGTGCTACATTCAAACTAATTAAAGTGAATGTGGAATAGAATAAAAAAAAAAAACAATAATAATAAATATAATAAAAAGGTGCTAAGTGATAACACAAAAATAATAACAAAACGCAAAACATAAATCAATACGCATGTGCATGAAAACACATACATATATAACATCACACGTGCACAATGTGAAGTGAAGTAATATCTAAATAATATACGCAAACTCAAAGTCCAATAATGAAATATTAAGTGAAAAAAGTCCAATATTGGAATATTAAAGGTGAAAAAATTAATGATTGGTAGAAATTGTGTTTCCAATATACTGTAAGGTGACCACAGGTGAAACAAAAAACCGTGCAGGTATCTGGTGTAGATAACTTGTGAATCCAACCACCTTCTGGATTAGCCTCTCACCTCAACTCTTCGACCCTTGCGGGTCACAGAGCAGTATGGATCCCTCTCACAGATCCTCCAGGCACCAAGGCACTCCAGAACCACTTCTCAGGATACAATATTCCCACTCAGCTCTTCTTCAAGTGTAGATTTAAATATCACTTTCCCAGAACAAAACAAACGGATCCTCCCATAGTGCATAAGGTTTATTATACCATTAGGAACATCACATGTATAATAAAAATAACTCACGTAGCAGCCAGTCCACATTAAACCCTCATGCTCTCAATTGAGGATATGTGTATATGAGTTGGGTGTACAGCTGAATCCACAGGTGTACCAAGATGGCCGCCACGCCGGAAATACGTCACCGCGCTAACGACGCCGACGCGTTACGTCACAATATCACGTGACTTCATGAAGTCACGTGATATGTAACGCGTCGGCGTAGCGCGGACGTATTTCCGGCGTGGCGGCCATCTTGGTACACCTGTGGATTCAGCTGTACACCCAACTCATATACACATATCCTCAATTGAGAGCATGAGGGTTTTAATGTGGACTGGCTGCTACGTGAGTTATTTTATTATACATGTGATGTTCCTATGGTATAATAAACCTTACTGCACTATGGGAGGATCCGTTTGTTTTGTTTCTGGGAAAGTGATATTTCATCTACACTTGAAGAAGAGCTGAGTGGGAATATTGTATCCTGAGAAGTGGTTCTGGAGTGCCTTGGTGCCTGGAGGATCTGTGAGAGGGATCCATACTGCTCTGTGACCCGCAAGGGTCGAAGAGTTGAGGTGAGAGGCTAATCCAGAAGGTGTTGGATTCACAAGTTATCTACACCCAGATACCTGCACGGTTTTTTGTTTCACCTGTGGTCACCTTACAGTATATTGGAAACACAATTCTACCAAAATCATTAATTTTTTCACCTTTAATATTCCAATATTGGACTTTTTTCACTTAATATTTCATTATTGGACTTTGAGTTTGCGTATATTATTTAGATATTACTTCACTTCACTGCACGTGTGAAGTGTTATATATGTATGTGTTTTCATGCACATGCGTATTGATTTATGTTTTGCGTTTTGTTATTATTTTTGTGTTATCACTTAGCACCTTTTTATTATATTTATTATTATTGTGTTTTTTGTTTTTATTCTATTCCACATTCACTTTAATTAGTTTGAATGTAGCACAGCATTTATATGGTTTTTATTGTCAATATATTGATTTATGTCATTGTATTCCACATTCACTTTAATTTTTGAATGTAGCGCAGCATTTATTAGGTTTATATCCTACCAGAACTGTAACACAGGTGGAAGGGGGTGTGATTCCCATACTCTCTCTTCCCAGGAAATACTGCGTATTTTTTTTCCTCTCCCAGTTAGACCAGCAGGGAGCAAAGGAAAGGTGAATATGTTTAGCTGGAGAGGGGCAGTTAAGTGCATCTGTTGCGTTGCCCGCAGGGGTTCACTTTAAGCTCTGACTTTCTTTAAAGTATTAAAGTTTGGAAGAAATGTTTTCATTATTTATGGAAGGTGAACATCCGATAATAATAATTCTCTTTAGGCAGATTGGTTTTATTATTGTTTAAGAATTATTTTTAAATTTTTATTTGCACTATCAATAAATAATTCAATGCATTTGCATCTTGTGTTCAGTGTTTTGTTTTTTTCTTGTAGCTCCCATTCTCTGTTGCTGAAAAAGACATTGGTATATGCATCCATTCATTCCTTATTGTTGGTATTAAAGGGAATCAATAGGGACCAAAATATAAGTGCCACCATTGCTAACTTAGCTTTACAGGTACAAACCCTTAGTCACTAACATTATCCATGCTTCTCTATTTAGTTTGTCTCTGACCCTAAACAAGCAAGCATCTATTGAAGTTGGAACTCCATACTTGTTATGGGTCCTTCAGTGGCAGAACATTCCAACATGCCAATTTCCATATTTTTAAACTAGGTAACCGTAATTGGTTCATCTTAAATATTGGTTAATGAAAGACTGTAGTCCAAAAAGATCATCTAAAGGGCGGAAAATCTTCTAACACTTTGCCTTCATTAAGAGCTAACCTCCGCTTAGAGTGCTACTGTGGCCAGGCTATGGAAATTTACCAATTACATCTTCTTAACAAGTAATAAATGAGCTTTAAAAAGAGCCCTCACTGACCTGTGTGTGAGGGAAAGAGACGAGGAAGCCCTGGCAAATGCAGCAATGCCCTATATGGCCGTGCTAATTTTGCGCAAAAATGTGCGCACTGGTACACACAGGGCATGATAATTGATGACACTCAGCTGCCTTTATAAGGACTGCAGCTCCTCACAATAATTGCTGGATTATCGTCAGCCTCCTGTTCCCATGTTCCTGTGTGTATCCTGCTGATTATCTGTTATCGACCAGGCTTGACCCTGACCTGCTTTGGCTCTTCTCCTGGCTCTCTACCTTGGCTTGTCCCTCAGATCTGCTCCTGCTTACTCTGATTGAATACCAGTGTATGGCCCTGGCTTGATCCTGACTTTGCTCCTGCCTGATGTTCTGTGTTTGACCCGGGCTCTGGCTTCTGACTTTGCTTCCTGCTTCACCCATTGACCTGGATCCACTAGTCCTCCTGAAGGACCCCCTCCTGTATCTGGTCCACCCATGGGTATCGTCTCATCAGGCATCTTCAAGAATCCATACCATTGGCAACCCGTGCTTCTTTGGGAACTGCACCTTATGTTACCACTTTCAGGAGTGCATTGCACTCAGCCGCAGGGGGGCCCTCGCTTCACCTCAGCCTCCGGTCAGGTATGTGACAGCATAATCCAGCCATAATGTCAGAGGCTGAGAGAGGTGTCTCCCCGATAGGGGCTTTGTGCCAACAGTTTGCCACCTTCACGCAAGCGATCAAGAATTTAGAAAAGGGCTATTTCCAGCTGGAAGGTCGCCTGCAGAATCTTGCTACTCCTTCAGCTCCTGTCGATCAAAGCCCACCCATGGAATCTTCTGCATCTTCAGCTTCAGTTCAAGAACGCCCCGCGGTTGCCCCCACAGTGATATTACCACAGCCAGAGCCAAGAGTACCAGTTTGTGAATGCTTTTCAGGAGATCAACAAAAGTTCAGGGCGGTCAAAAACGCATGTCAGTTATATCTGGCACTCCAACCCAGAACTTTCGCCTTAGAGACTGTGAAGTTGAGGTTCATTATTTCGCTACTTACTGCTGAACCCCACTCCTGGGCACAACACCTCCTGGAACAAAAGAGTCCTAAATTCCGTTGCTACCTACTTTTTGCACCATGTCTCAGCTTTATGATGACCCGCAATGCATGGCTACAGCAGAAACCGCTCTTCACTCCCTCCAACAAGGTCGTCGACCAGTGGAAGATTATGCGGTGGAATTTCGTAAATGGTCAGCAGACACAGGTTGGAATGAGGCCACCCTCAAATACCAGTATTGGCTTGGCCTCTCTGAAGGGCCTAAAGATGAAATGGCCAGAGCCGAGGCTCCTACTACCCTTGAAGGCCTCATCCAGTTGGCCATCCAGCTCG